GGCGGCTGTGCTTCCCACCCAACTCCCTGCTTGTAGTCTGGGAAAGCAGTGGAGGACGGCCCAAAGCTTTGGGACCCTGTACCCACATGGGAGACCCGGAAAGAAGTTCCTGGCTCCTGGCTTCGGATTGGCTTAGCTCCAGCTATTGTGGCCACTTGCGAAGTAAGTCAGCAGAAGGAAGATCTTCCTCTCTGTCTCTCCTCCCCTGTGTATCTGACTTTGCAATAAAACCTTTACAATGCAGGTTAAAGATCTTTGACTTCCTGCTCCCACCTGCCACGCGCACTCCGGGAAGCTCCTCCCACCACCTCGCTGCCCTGCTGCCCGCCCAGCCCAGGGTCCCGGGAACCTGCCCTCGTCCCACACAGGATGTGTGGCTGCCGGCACCTCTTCCTGGCGTCACTCACCCCACTCCGTGAGTCTGCCCTGTGCCCACCCAGGGAACTTGTACTGTTTCTAAACGCGGCCGCCTCCTCTCTGCTACCCCGATCTCGTTTTCTAACCAGCTGCAGGAGCGCCCTCACGTCACAACTCCAGCCCCACGCTGTCTGTCTGCAGACTTCTGCTTCCCCATCTAGATTAGGCCGCAGCCACTTTGTCATCCAGGCATAATGACGGAAGACAGAGCCAGTCCAAACCTTTATGTCATGGATGGGAAGTACTGAAGGCCGCCGTAACCCCTCGCAGGCCCAGGGCTTCCAGTGCAGCCAGAAGCAGGCAGAGCGGTCGCCAGCGTGCACCGCACACGTCAGTTCACGCAGGCCTCAGCAGCCCTGAGCGCATCTTCAGATGCAGAAACAGCCAGACGCACACTCCGGCGAGCTGCACAAGGCTTGCAGACTCCACGCAGAGCCCTGACTCTCCCAAGAAGCTACGGCGCGGCTAGCAGCTGCCCACACCTCTTAGCTGATGACGGGATAACCAAACGGCTTCAAGTCCCAGCTCTGTGAGTTCCTGGGTGGTCTTAAGCCCATTTCCTCACCCAGAGAGGGTGGATAATAACGCCTTCTGGCAGCAGCAACAGCACCCTGCGTCCCCAGAGGAGCTCCACCACTCAGGCTATTAGGGAGACGAGTGTAGCTACACTGCCCCCCAGGGGACCTCTCTGGTTAGTGCCCCAAAGTCAAGAACAATACCTTCAAGAGGGACAGGGGAAGTAAGATGCCAATAACCACAGATACTTTCCCTTCGGACCCTCGGGACTACCGCAAAGCTCATTAGCTCAACAATGAGCCTAACAAGATGAGCCCTTTAACATCTACCAATCCCAGAGTTCTGATATTGTGGCACAGTGGCCTAAGCTACTGCCTGTGATGCTGGCATCTCATATGGACACTGGCTTCTACTTGTGGTCATCTGCTGGTTTCTGCTTGGCCCAATCCTGACTATTGTGGTCATTTGGGGAGGAATGAATAGGTGGAAAAAAACTGTCTCCTCCCCTCCACCTCTTTCAAAAAAAAAAAATCTGTAAAAACAAAACTAACAGTTCAATCAAGAAATGGTATCTGTCCAATAAATTACGCAGAAAACATGGCACTTGTTTATGATGGAATACTACTCAGGCACGAAAAGGTTAAAATGTTGCCATTTGCAAAAACATGGCTGGACCTGGAGGTCGCTACGCCAAGTGAGGCGAGCCAAGCACAGACAGGCTTCGTGGGACCAACACTCTAACGCAGCCATACAGTGGGGTGGCCGTGCTGGTCGGGCACTGTGCATGGCATTCAGGGCATTCAGAGCACCACAAAGCGGTGCTCAGCGCTGGCAGAGGAACAGTCGTGACATCACTGCATAACACACACAGGTACAGTTCTTGAGCGCCTCCCTCGGCGGTTGCCCTGAAACGGGAGATCTTAAGAACGGGCATTGGAAGGCACCTAGCTCTGGGGCCTCGGAGGGCGTCAGGAGTATGCTGGCACTGGGGCCTCCCCGCCACCACAGCGCCCTTAGCCAGCCTCTATTGTCACAGCTTTGCCTACTGCTTCAGTGGAACAGAATACTGGGTCTTAAAAAAAAAAAAACAAAAACAAAAAATCATAGTACCTCAGAGGGGCTGGCACTGTGACACAGTGGGTAAAGCCACTGGCTGTGGTGCTGGCATCCCTGTCTGCTCCCTGCTGACGAGCAGCAGGTGGCCCAAGATCTTGGGTCTCTGCACCCATGTGGGAGATGTGGAGGAAGCTCCTGGCTTCAGACTGACCCAGATGCCATGACTGTGGTCATCTGAAGAGTAACCCACAGGATGAGCTCTCGTCTCACCCTCTCCCTAACTCCCTAATTTTTAGAGTATTTCAGAGGGCCCTTGTGCAATAGCCTTGACAAAATCCTCCCTTGTATGCATCAGAATCCCACAGGGGCGCCAATTCGTATCCAAGCTGGCCCATTTCCCTTCCAACTCCGTGCTGTGACCTGAGAGGGCAGTGGAAGATGGCCCAAAGCCATGGGACCCTGTACTCTCAGGGGAGACCGAGGCAGCTCTAGCTCCTGGCTTTGGATGGGCTCAGCTCTGGCCGCTGTGGCCACAAGAGGAGTGAATGAATCAGTGAATGGAAGATCCTTCTGCATCTTGTTATCTTTGTAAATCTGCCTTTCCAATAAAAATAAGCATCTTCCAAGTTACTTTAGGGCCCGGCGCAATAGTGTAGTGAGTAAAGTCCTTGCCTTGAATGCACCAGATCCCATATCGGCGCTGGTTCTAATCCCGCTGTCTCTGCTTCCCATCCAGCTCCCTGCTTGTGGCCTGGGAAAGCAGTGGAGGACGGCCCAAAGCCTTGGGACCCTGCACCCACGTGGGAAATCCAGAAGAGCGCCTGGCTCCTGGCTTTGGATTGGCTCAGCTCTAGCCGTTGCAGCCACTAGGGGAGTGAACCACTGGACGAAAGATCTTTCGGTCTTTCCTCCTCTCAGAATATACCCTTTCCAATAAAAATAAATAAATCTATTAATTTTAATAAAGTTACTTTAGAAATGGCCTCTAAAATACATAAAACAGGTAAGACTATGGGCCCAACACAGTAGCCTAGTGGCTAAAGTTCTCTCCATGCACACACTGGGATCCCAACAGGGCGCCAGTTTGTGTCCCCACTAACCCATGACTCATCCAGCTCCCTGCTTGTGGCCTGGGAAAGCAGTGACGGATGGTCCAAAGCCTTGGGACCCTGCACCCATGAGGGAGACCTGGAAAAAGCTCCACGCTCCTGGCTTCAGATCAGCTTAGCTCTGGCTGCTGCAGACTCTTGGGGCGTGAATCAGGCAGTGGTAGATCTTCCTCCTCTACTCTGTCTCTCCTTCTCTCTGTATATCTTTCCAATAAAAATATTTAAATCTTTTAAAAAAACTGGCAAGACTATATATTAAACTGGTATAGCCATAAAAAAGGTGGGGGAGGGGCAAGAATTGGTGTTGTGGCAAAACGTCTGAAGCCAGTGCCGCCAACACTGCCTCCAGTTCTGAGTGCCAGCTCCTGCCCCAATCACCCCACTTGTGATCCGGCCTGCTCCCAGTGAGTGGGGGAAAAGCAGAGCCCTCCACCCTCGTGGGGGCCCTAGTGGGTTCCCGGCTCATGCCTTCAGCATGGCCCAGCCACGGCTAGTGCAGCCCCGCTGAGCGCAAACCAGTGGACGATTTCCATCACTCTTTCAAATAAAAAAAAAATCTTAAAGAGAAAAAAAGCTCCTACATCCAAACTGGTCCAAGGCAGGCTGGCTGGAAATCTGGCCATCCCCTCATAAGCCCATTTGGGGCGTTACCCAGGGGACCCCAGAAGTTACACACACACGCCATTCGGTGAAGCTGTTCACAAATGGCTAAAACCATGACTCGGAAGGGTGCATCCCAGCTCACGTGCACACGCAGGGAAAGCCCTCCCTGCTTACACAGTGCAGAAAACTGGGCTACAAAGTTAAATGGCTTCTTTAGCTTTTTTTTTTTTTAAAGTAATTATTGAAAAGGCAAATTAGAGAGACACAGCTCTTTCACGTGCTGGTTCACTCCCCATGGCCGCAATGACTGCAGCTGAACTGATCTGACGCCAGGAGCTTCTTCCAGGCCTCCCACGTGTGTACAGGGCCCCGAGGACTTGGGGTTACCCTCTACTGTTCTCCAAGGCTATAAGCAGGAGCTGGATTGGAGGAAGAACAGCCAGGACTAGAACCAGCACCCACATGGAATGCCAGCACTGGCAAATTACCGTGTTAAACCATCATGCTGGCTCCATAAAGTTTCTTTCCTTCAAGGTTTTCCAGCACTTTGGCTGTTCAACATCCTGACCCAAAGGAAGCCCGGCCCGAGCCCCTGACCATGGAGCACTGACCAGCAAAGCCCAGCACCACCCCACAGTACGCCTCACTATGCCTCACCCCACGGCCCCTTCCAGGTCCCTCTCCCAAAACTGTCTTACTGTCTCTAATCTAGAATCCCCGACTCCCACTTCGTCATACTCTTAGCCCACACCAGCTCCACATCCCCCAGGGACAGTCCTTTCCAGGTGTACTTACAGCTCCTTGGTCAGCACCCAGGAGTCACTCCCACCCTGGGCAGAACTTCAGCTACCTGGGACTCCCAGTTCCTCTCTGCACTGTCCACCCCAGCCTCAGAACCTCCCCATTTGTTATCTGTCCACTGTCCTTGGCAGCCAGGAAATGACGTCATTTTAGTCCAGTCAGCGGGGGACGGTTTCCTAGCACCTACAGCGGAAGAAGCCCACGGACAGGCCTACACCAGCAACGGAAGCAGCTCATCCTCCTTGCTCCTCCCGCCCCACCCCCCACGCCTTCCCTCTCGGGCCAGGCGAGGGGAAGCCAAGTCCACGAGACAGGCAGCAACACAGCTGGCCCAAGTCCTGGATCACACGTCCAGGGCTGGTCTTTTGATAAATGGATGATAGGTTTGTGTTTTATGTCTGCAATGCAGTTTAAAAGTATGAGCAGTGCCAACTCCTGCGTCAACGTGCCCGGAGCCTGCGGCTCCCAGCCCTCACACACACAGGAAGGTCATCAGGCTTATTGTCTTTTTTTAATGAAACTAGATCACTGCTTACAAAAACCTTCACGGGCCCTCACGCCCACCCCCTCCACAGTTCCCCTGGGTCAGCCTCTCCTGCTCACAGGACTGGAACAGTGCATGAGTGGAACAGCCACCCCTCAGAGGCCTTGGGCTCCGACCCCGAGCCTTCGCAAGGGGATAGTTCCTGCTCCCAGGGCCGGTCCAGTAGAGCTTGGAGGATGCACGGATGGGGGTGGTCCCTGCCGCGATGGCTCTCAGGCCACCACCCCGACCAGAGTGAAATGATGTGAAAGTCCCACCCCAGGGATGCCCCCTCCCAAAGCAGCTACCCCCACCCCCACCCTCACTCTACCCCACTATGAGATGAGGCCACTTCCGTCAGAAAGGACATGGCCTACAGGCTGTAGAACTTGAGGCTCCTGTCCATGCCTGTAGAAGCAATGAACTTGGCGTGGTGTCCGAAGGCCACCCCCGTGGTCAGGCCGCTGTGCTCTGAAGAGAGAAAGGAGAGGCAGCTGTGAGGTTTCTCCTCCTCAATGTACAACACTGCGCCCGGCTTCCCACCACACTGGCACACAGCAGGCACACCATCACTCAGGGCAGGAGGAGCAAAGACAGGGATGTCAGCCTCCTCATCTCAAGTTTCTGGGCAGATGCACTTGGGCTCCACCTGCTGGTCTGGATGGTCCAGCCTAGACAGCGGTGAGGCTGGTATTCACCAGCATTTACAACCACACAGTCCAAGTCCTGAGTCCATTTCCTCAGCCACATGTACTCTAACCTCAGCCAGTGACTGACAGCTGACTCAACAAATCCCCGGCCAGCCCTGGAGGTTCCTAAGCCAGGGCTTCCCCATTCCCCTCGGCCCGAAAGCCTCAAGACCCCAGGAGCAGGGCCAGCCGCTACCTGTGAAGTGAAGAATCTCCGTCCACTGTTTGCAGATGTAGATCTGGACGTCTGTGCCCCCCAGGGCCAGGTAGGTACCACTCTGGTCAAAGATAAGGGACTTCACCTGCCAGAGCCGGAAGGACAGTGGTCACACAGGGCACAAACTGCGGGGCCAGAGGGGAGTGTTTCAAGTGGGGAGGAGCAGCAGCCGAGAGCTGAGGGAGGGACGCACCTCAAAGTTGTTGTCGAGCTGCAGCGTCTTGAAGTTCTTCAGCTTGCGCAGATCCCAGAGTTTGACCGAAGAGTCATCAGCTGCCGTGGCCAGGTAGTAGCCGTTCTCGGAGAAGGCAATGCTGGTGATGGGGCCTGAGTGACCAGGGAAATTGGCCACATTGGTGCGCTCCTGCAAGTGGGAGGTGGCAGCAAAACGCATCACACAGTGGACCCGACAGGAAGAAAAGAGGGCTCGCCCAGCTTCCACCCGACAAGCCTCCTCTGTCCTCCAGGGAAGGCCAGCCAGCAGAGCACACACATGTAGCCAGCCTCTCGCCGGCCCTGGACGCCCCAGAACTCGGGGTCAGCAAGTGAAGCAGCCTTTGAGCCACAGGGATGCTCCCCAGCCCTGGGCCTCAGCCAGAGCCCGCGTGTGGCCTACCTTCAAGTCCCAGATCTTGATCTGAGAGTCCATGGTTCCTGTTCCGAAAATGAGGCCATCAGGGTGGAACTGAGCGCAGGTGAGAGCTGGGGAGGAGGGAGAGGCAGCTCAGGCTGGCGCACAGCACTAGGGGGAACTGCCCCACGCCTCATCTTCATCTCTGGGCCCGGCAGAGCCAGACCCCAAGTGGTAATGGTGCTGAAATTTTTCAAATGGACTAAGGAGCACAAGCCTCCATACAACGTAAGAAGAAATGATAAAGAGCGAACACAGGCTCGGCGGCCCCGAGGCAACTTACAGCAGCCGGAGGTCTCGTCCGTGACCTTGGTGAGCACACGGCCCGTCTGGATGTCAGAGAAGGCCCAGTACTGAAACAGGACAACAGGCCCAGTGAGAAAGTGGGGCCCCAGCAAGACCAGCTCCCAGGCAGAGCGGCCATCCTCCTCCTCCTTCCCCATGGCCGGGCTCACACCTGGTCGTCTGAAGAGCTCAAGAGGTAGTCCCCGGTGGCATGGAGGCTGAGGCCTGTCACAGCGCTCTCATGCGCCCGTACAACCTGGACGCAAGAGGCATTCGGAACTGACCAAATCCTGATAGTGGCATCTGGAGAGGCGGAAAACACCAGATCCTAAAAGGAAAAGCAAAGAGACCAAAGATCAGCAACGAGGACAAAGGCGAGATGACAATCTCACAAAAGGAGACAGAGCGACCATGGATACCTGCTTGTCAATCCCGTCTAGCCTGGAACCATTTACCCACCCAATGATACCTGAGAGAACCAACCACAAACACTGTTAAAATGGCCAAAGGAGGGGCCGGTGTTGGGGTGTGGTAGGTTAAGCTTCTGCTTGCAACGCACAAACCACCATCCACCATTCCACCATCCGATATGGATGCTGGTTTGATTTCTGCCTGCTGCACCTCCCAATCTAGCTTCCTAACGCACCTGAGCAAGCAGTGGCCTAAGGGCTTGGGACCCTACACCCACATGGGAGATTGGATGAAGCTACTGGCTCCAGCCTGGCCCACCCTGTCAGTGACTGGCGTAAATGAGGGACTAGACTTTTCAAAATCTACCTTGAATTGAAGGAGCCAGCGGCAGCTAGCTGCTTGCCACTGAACTGCATGAAGCAGACCCAACACTGCTGAGGTGTAACTCACGCCCGGAGGTCTCTCCCTGAGGGGCTTCAGGGGCAAGTGAGTCTCCCAAAGACCCAGGATGGGAAAGCACTCACACAGCAGCCTTACCCAGGCCTTAAAAGCCGGCAGCTGAAGACAACTGCCCTTCCTCCTAACACCAAGGAAAGAGAAAAACAGTGCTTTGGAGTGCTCTGAAAATCTACATGCATGCCATGGAAAATCCAGTATTACTCCTGAGGTCCAAGGAAAAGGCTGACTCTCCAACTACCCTTCCTTTCTTCCTCTAGGTTCCACAACATAGCTCTAGGAGGACCCAAGTGAAGGGCAGTGCCCAGGACATCCCTCTCCAGTCGGCGTTCTCAGCCCCACCTTACAAGGTGATGGGGAAAGATTTGTTCCAGGACCCCAAACCACTGAAATAGGGCAGAGAGAGGGTCACGGGTGACCAGGAGGAACCTCCATACCTGGGAAGGGTGGAATACCACACTGGTGACCTTCTTGGTGTGGCCTTTGAGGGTGGCCAGGATTTGCTCAGAGCTCTTGTCAAAGACGACGACATTTTTATCCGCTCCACCTGAGGAAAACCCAAACAAGATCCAAAAGGAAAAAAAAAAAGGTACAGTGTCAGGTCCCCAGGGTTCCCCACGCACCTTCCCTCTGCTCCCCAAGCCGAGCCCCACTGCGCAGGCTCCGACTCTTACCAGTGAGGATCTTGTTGGTGTCTGAGGGGCAGAGATCCAAGGCGAGGATCCCAGGAATGCTAGCACTGTGCAAGCCCTGTGCAGAGAGAGCCACACCAAATCCAGCTGCCCTCCCCTCACTGCCCACAAGTGACTGCTTGCTTTCTGCCTCACTGTCGCTACCGGGAAACCCAGAGGTGGGCAGGGAGAGCAGGTCTGCCAACTGCACAGCCCAGGCCCGGGGCACCCCCACGGGACTGCCCTGGAAGGAAGGGGGCCCCAGCCACTTACCACATGGGATGCCACCTGCCGGTATTTGCTGAGCTCTTCTGGCTTCACCAGCTCCTCAGGCACAGTCTTCCCTCTCTGAGCAAATGAACATAAGCCAAGATTCAGTCACCCAGTGCGCCTGAGGTGTCAGAAGCCTCACCCCAGGAAACAACCCCTGCTGGCTCTAGGACAGGACTCACCTTCTTACGCTCCGTGGTCAGCACAGTGGCCTTGTCTTGAAGCTGGGGGAGAAAGGAGAACTCAGTGTGAGGCAAATCAGCTTGCCAGGATGCTGGCATGCCTGTGGGAGCTTTCACAAGCATCACGGGGAACTGGTGCCCCAGGAGACTCCTGCTCCTGCACCTCATTAGGGTGCCGGTTCAAGCTCCGGCTGCTCAGAGGCACGGTGGTAAGCTGAGCCACTCAGGAATACACCAGCAAGCCTCACAAAGGAGAATTCCCTAAGTAAACAGGGCCCTGGACACGCGCCACGAGCCTCACTCTGCTTCACAGGAGCCAGATCTTTTGAACCCAACTCTCCGATTCTTCATCTGTCAAACAAATGTAACTCCTATCCTGTCTCGCTCACAGGAAAAAACAAAACAATGAATTTATAACAAGAGCTCAAAGTTGTACATTTCAATAAACACATTCCTTAAATCCCCGTTAGGTCTGGGAAGGTGCTTTGACTCTCATTTTAAAGGAGGGCGTGACGTGGTATCCTAGTGGATAAAGCCCTCGCCTTGAAGGCCCCAGGATCCCATATGGGCGCCAGTTCTAATGCTGGTAGCCCCACTCCCATCCAGCTCCCTGTCTGTGGCCTGGGAAAGTAACAGAGGATGCCCCAAGCCTTGGGACTCTGCATCCATGTGGGAGACCCAGAAGAGCTCCTGGCTCCTGGCTTAGGGTCAGCGCAGAGCCAGCGGTTGTGACCTCTTAGGGAGTGAATCAGCAGACGAAAGATCTTGCTCTCTGTGTCTCCTCCTCTCTGTGTATCTGACTTTACAATTTAAGAAAATAAATAAATAAATATAAAGGCAAGGGGGCATTGTGGCATAGCGTTTCAAGCCTCCGCCTGTGATGCTGACACTCCCATGGGTAAATTCGAGTCCTGGCTGCTTTACTCCCTGATCCAGCTCCCTGTTCATGTGCCTGGAAAAGAGTGGGATATGGCAGATGCCTGGGCCCCTGCACCTACATGGGAGACTGGCAAGACATGGTTCCCAGCTGTGGCCTGGCCCAGGCCCGATTATAGCGGCAATCTGGGGAGTAAAACAGCAGATGAGAGCCAGGCATGACGGCCCTATAGCTAAACCTCGCCTTGCCCGTTCCAAGATGCCTCATGAGCACTGGTTTGTGTCCCGGTTGCGCCACTCCCATCCAGCTCCCGGCTTGTGGCCTGGGAAAGCAGTAGAGGTCGGCCTAAAGCCTTGGGACCCTGTGCCCACATGAGAGACTTGGAAGAAATTCCTGGCTCTTGCCTACAGATCAGCTCAGATCTTTCTCTTTCTCTCCTAGTCTTACTAGTCCTTTCGGATTAAAAAAATCTTTACAGAAACAGCAGACGAAGGATTTTCTTTCTTTCCTTTCTTCTCTCTGTATTTCTGCCTTTCAAATAAACATTTTATACATTTAAAAAATAACAACAGCAAAACTGAAACACAGGCCCTGGCAGTTCCAGAATTTATGCCATGTACAACTCCAGAGTCCCAGACAAAGGGAATTTCATCCACACTGGATTCAAGGTGTGAGAGGTGACAGCCAGTAGCATTCCCGCCAACATCTTACCTTCTGGATAATCTCCGGGGTCATGCCCACCAGCTCACCCAAATCCATGGGCTCGCCTGCACCCTGGAAAGAAAAAGGCGGTGTAAGAGCAGAGAATGGCAGCAACATCTAGCTGGAGAGCTGGGCAGGCAGCCACTGCACACAGGGATGGCTGGCAAGCAGCAGGGACACTCACCACCACACTTGGCTGCGAGCTCGGCACAGCCTGGGGTACGATGAGACCAGCCTGCGGCTTCAGGGTAGCCAGAGCTGAGGGAAAAGGTCACGTTAGCAAAGGGCTGTAACAAAGCAGGGCTGCCGTGAGCAGGGGAACTGGCAGAGACCGTACCTTCTCGGGCAGCAGTGACTTCCTTGGTGAGGCGGGCAATGACACGGCAGGCGGCATCGTGCTGGTACAGCGCGTGGGACAGCTCCTGGCGGGTGGTCTGCAGCTGCTGGCGCAGGGTGAAGCTGTGCAGCATGACCGCATCCTGGGAGAGGGAAGCACACGGTGAGGGCCAGGAGGGGGACCCAGCGCGGCCAGAGAGACGGCCTCTGTGAAAGGATGCCGTCTCCTAGCCTGCTCCCCAGACCAACACCTGCAACGCGAACAACATGGCAGTGGCCCTGAATGTGCTGGCAGCTCTCCTGAGCTCCCACCCTCACCAAACACGGGCACACACAGCAGTGGGAGCCGGTTCTCACCCTTCTGGCAAAGCATGGATATCACATCGCGGCCCCTCTAAAAGGGGCAATGTTGCGTCTATGGATGGACCACACTCCCGAGACAAGGACCACTCGCTCCTATTTACTGAGAGCCTGCTAGGTCCTGCACACTGCAGAGGAAAACTGGCCCTGATGTCACCAGGCTGGACCCCAGAGGCAAGGACGACTCCATGCAGAAGGAGCACTACTCGGTCACTCTGCTCATGAGCAGGGGGATCCAGAGCAGTGTGATGTCACAGCCAGGCTCCTCCTGCGCCCCCCCCCCCCCCCCCCCCCCCCCCGGGACCACGCAGGGACACGCTCTTCTCCGAGCAGGAAAGACTTTAGCTTTCTCCCAGACACTCACCCACTCGTCCTGCAAGGCTTTCAGGATGGCCGGGATGCTGGTGGCTGAGGGAGGCTTGGGCCGGATCGGGTGAGCAACTGCCAAGATAGGTCAGTCAGGTGTGCAAATCTGCCACTCAGGTCCCCGCCGCCCCGCCCCCTCCGATCCTGAGCCAGGAGGCCCCATGCGAGGCCGAGCAGCAGGCACCTTTGATGTCGATGAGCTGCTCCTCAGAGAGAGGCTGGTTGTTGATAGGATCTGTACCATTCTCAGCAATGTACTTCTCTATGAGCCGCCGTTCATAGACGTGATTAGACACGGGGGACACGCACGGGTGCTCCGGCACCTCGTTGGAGACTGCGGAGACAGGCAGGCAGGGGGCTTTGGGGGAGAGGCAATCCTGGGCCGAGAGCATCCCTGCTCCTCACAGTCAACTACCAGGACGCACGTGACACCAAGCCAGTTTGGGGTGAGCCCCTGAAACTTCTCCAGCTACACCCCAGCTTCCCCATCAGTCTCCCAAGTCTGACGGACACCAAATAACTCCCACACAGCTGCTGTAGCTCAGCCTGTAAGCCCAGCGGAGAGCTGCGCTCAGTCACCCTCCACGCCATGCCAAGTCACTCATGTCTGTGCCACCCACCCGTCTACAGCCCTAACTGCATCAGAACACAAAGGGATTACACAGTTCGCAAAGTGTTCACTGCGGGCCAGGCAGTTCTAAGCCCCTCACACAACCAGCCCGCCCCCCCATCACAGACATCAGTGCACTGAGGCAGGCGGGGGGAAGGAGGTCTGGGGGAAACACTGTGCACGAACCACGCACGCAGGGCCTCAGGAGCAGGCTGACAGGCAAGGGCTCCTGGCCTCATCCCTCCCAAACGAGGCAGCAACAGCACCAGCTCATCTACCCAAACACATTCCCAAAGCACTGGAAAGCTCCAGAACATGTCCTCCGGAATCCCCATCAGACCGGCTCAGGCCAGGGGCCGGTGTGAGTCTAGAGGCCGAGACACTCCATGTCCTGAAAGCGGCTCTGTGACAGCCTGCACTGTCACTGCCCTTCCTTCATCACACGCTTGTGCGGGTTCTTCTGCAACCTGTGCACCCCTCGCGGGTGCGCAGTGGGATTCCTGCCGCACCCGGCTCTGTGCCCGCGCCTGTCGGCTGCCAGCGAGTCTCACCGACTGCATTGCTGGCCCCTCGGCTACCAGAAGACCATGCTGACCCAGACACGGGGGCCTGGCGGGACTGAGAGCCAAGGAGCCATCACCGCAAGCTGTAATTGCTCCAGTGGGCGGGAGTCCCTGGTCGGCTCCCTTCCCTTCTCTTTGAGTTAATGCGGGTGAATGCTGAGAAGGAAAGCGTGCCAACAGAGAGAGGAAGGGAGACCGGGTGACCTAGGTGCTCAGAGGGGGGAGGGACACCTGCCGGCCATAATAAAACACCCGGAAGTGCTGGGAGCACCCAGCTCCATCACCCAGCCCTGGCGGGTTACTAACTGTGCCCCTTGCCGAGCATCAGGTGTAATAAACCCCGGATCTTTTCCTTCTCCCGGAGGGAATGCCACCATGGGATTACGGCAGCCCGTGCACGGAGGGCTTTCCAACAGGCGTGCTGTCCCGTATCGGTCACGGCGCGCGGCAGGCAGCCCACTCGCGGGGACACCCTTGGCCAGCCGGGCCAGCCTGCGGCACGAGGCCTCTCCCCCACCACGCCGGCCGCAAGCTCTCCCGGCTGCCCGGCCCGAGGCGCCCCGGCGACTGCCCCGCGGAGGCCGCCACACCGGCCTGCGCACGAGCGCGCACTCACTGGAGCAGATGAGGGACATGGCGCCGACGCAGCGCTCCGCGCCGGCTCTTCACGGGCCTCGGCGGCCTCCGCACGCCCCACGGGCCCCAGACAGCCACCCCGCGGAGCGATGCCCGCGCCCCGCGTGCCGTTTCACGTGCGAAGGTGGCCGCTCGCGCGCCCGAGTCTGCAGCACCTAACGGAAACTGCCCTCTCCCGGCGTGCCACGGGACAGGAAAGAGCCCGCCCCGGAAACATCGGCTCTTTCCGGATCCACTCGGCTCTGTCCGAGAAGCATTCCTGGGAGGGGGCGGGTCGCAGGGAGGCCAGCCGAAACTACACTTCCCATACTGCACCTGGAATGTGGCGGGCTAGCCGTTCGGCAGCATCATCAGTATTTGACAGTCACGCTGCCCCGACCCATAGGAATGCAGTCTTTGCTAGAATCCAGATCCACGTAATTCCGAGGCAGGTGTTTTTCGGCTACCCTGAGACAACGAGAAAGAGAGAGAGAGAGACCGTGCCCGCAATCTCTGGAAGACAGCACAGGTTGTTGCAGATAGCTGCAGTAACACTGGCGGAGAAATCGCTCTGCTCCTCCTCCCGCTACCAGTGTGCTCTGTGATCTTAGATAAGTTATGGGCTTCACTGCCCCTGTGTACTCCTGGTGCCTTGCAGCTCGGAGAGTGTACGATTCCTCGCAGGAATCAAGCTTATTCTCAGGAATCATGCGGGACACCAGACAAAACAGCAAAATGGCAGGTGTGGTCGGTGAAGGGTTCTGCGCTGAGCTTTGACAGGTGGGCACTGTTACAACTGCCTCAACTGACTAATCGTCCACCAGCATCCCATATGGATCCTAGTTCTAATCCCGGCTACTCCACTTCTCATCCAACTCCCTGCTTGTGGCGTGGGAAAGCAGTGGCGGACGGCCCAAAGCCTTGGAACCCTGCACCCGTGTGGGAGACCCGGAAGAAGCTCCTGTCTTGGTATCAGCTCAGCTCCAGCTGTTGTGCCCCTTTGATGAGTGAATGAGCCAGTGGATTGAAGATCTTTCTGTGTCTCCTTCTCTTTGTAAACCTGCGTTTCTAATAACATAATAAATGAAGATAAAAAGGTATTCTTGGAGGAGCAACTGTGTAAACAGGCTTGAGGAGAGGCATGAAGCTACGGGCAAAAAGTACTGTGGCAGAGGGACCAAGAGTGTGGCTCTACTGTGAGGGAACGTCAGCTCCACCCAGCTGGCTCACAATATGAGCTCCTCTTGGCTTTGGTTTCTTCACCTCTTAATAGAAGGAGTGACAACAAGGGTATGCTTATTGTTAAAGACTCGTTTATTTTCATTGGAAAGGCAGAGTTGTACAGAGACAAAAGCGAGATCTTTCATCTGCTGGCTCACTCCCCAGATGGTTGCAACAGCTGGAATTGGGCTGGTCCGAAGCTTCTTCCAGCTCTTCCATGTGGGTTCAGGGATCCACAAGCTATAAGCAGGGAGCTGAATGGGAAGTGGAGCAGGTGGAACTCAACCGGTGCCTGTAAAAGGATGCTGGCACCTGCCACTTCCAAAGGCTTAGCCTGCTACTTCCTCCCCCTCTTTTTTTTTAATAATAGATTTTTATCAATGGCTCAATTGGCTAATCCTCTACCTATAGTGTCACCACCCCATAAGGGTGCTAGTTCTTAAACCCAGCTGCTTCTCTTCTGACTTAACTCCCTGATACTGAGAAAGCAATTGAGGAAGACCCAAATCCTTGAGATCCTACTCCAAATGGGTGACCCAGAAGAAGTTCCTGACTCCTGGCTTCAGATCAACTGAGTTCTGGCAGTTGTGGCCCCTTGGGAGTGAATCAGCAGATGGAAAATCTCTTTCTGTGTGTCTCTTTCTCTCTAAATTTGCCTTTCCAATATAAATAAATAAATAAATAGGCATATGTTTAATATGAAGACGCCAGAGGCTCCTGCCATGGGCCCCGACAAGCCAGAACAAGCAGAAGCCTTTATGATGAGATTTCATGTTGCTAAAACCAAACTGAATTGTGATCTGATCTTCTAGGCCACCACAGGACTGACATTACAAACATGGGCCCCAAACAAACCAGTTTGGTTCCTAAACAGGGCAAGTTCCCCAAACAGGCATGATGAGAATTCCAAAAATCCTTCTGCTTTTCTCTTTACAAAAAGCAACCTGCTAGTGAATCGGTCATTTTGCTGTTCAGTCTCCCTGTCTCCGCCCTCAAAGGAAAGTGGGTGGACCATCCCTCTTTATTCTTTGTTTCTGGTGTTTTGTTTTGTTTTTTAACTCTATGAAGCTGACTTCCTCTACCCAGTCCCTTGAGACTTTGTTCTATTGAAGAAACAAAGTGTTCCCCTCTTTAATGGCCAAAGACAATTAAAATCTTTGAGCAACATTGTTCTCTGTCCTTAAGCCCCTGGGTCTGTAATGAGTTAGTGCAGCAAAAGTGGAACTCTGCCCCCACACAAATCAAAGAACATCCTGATTAGCCTCCCTGCCTCCTGCCTGATGGGTTTCTAAATCAGTTCACCTCCTCCTCCAGGTTTCTTTTCCTTGATCAGTTGCCTCTGGCTTTGTCAGGCCCTGTTCTGATGACTGGATACACAAAGAGTGGATCAACAAGATGCCTGATGTTGACACATGCATGATCTGCAGGAGGAGATGGCACCCTGACAATCAGAAAGTGTTGTGAATAAAGCAAACTTAAAGGTGCAGCATTGTGGCAAGGCACGTTAAGCTGCTTTTTGAGACTCCCCACATTCCCTAGCAGAACACCAGTTCATGGCCTGGCTGCTCCACTTGAGATCCAGCTCCCTCCTAACTGCACCTGGAAAGGCAGTGGAAGATGGCCCAAGCGTTGGGGTCCTTGCCACCCATATGAGAGACCAGGCTGGAGTTCCTGGCTTTGCCTTGGCCCACACTTGACTGTTACAGCCTTTCAGGGAAGTGAACTGTTATGGGGTGCAGCCAGTGATAGCCAGCACCCATTAAGAGTGGGCAAATGAAATGTGGCTGTGTCCCCTACCCTCTGTCCTGAAGGTGGATCCTAACAGCAATGGAATGCTAATTCCATCCTCAACCACCCCCCCACATCCTAAATTAGCCAGGATATTGAAAGTCCAATTAGTCTAGGTGTTTTTAGTTACAAGCCCAGTTCCTGTTCCTGCCCATCCCAACAAGCCCTTTTAAAATGCCTGTGAAGCAGGGGCTCACTCTCTTTCTGGCCAGGTGCTTCTGTTACTTTGGTACCTCGACTCTTGGCTGACCTAGGACAGGTAATCCCCTGAGCATGGTCTCTATGTCTTGCTTAGATGGGACAATGGATGCAATAATGTTGTTTCTGGTTTGTGTGCTGTCAGGAGTTCCAGGAGAGGTGAGGCCTAGCAGTGATGGAATGTGGGCGGAGAAGCCAGGAAAAGGTGAGTGTCTGCAGCTTTGTGTGTCCAGATTATTCATTGCATGTCTCTTAGGATAACATATTGCTGGGGAAGCTGGGATGTAGGTCTTCAGCTTAACGGATGGACTTAAGGGTAATGACCATTTGTTCCTTTTGGGATTATGATTGGTTGGATTATGATTGGCTGGATTGCCGTATGGACTTGTGATTTGCTATTGTGCTCTATTATCACCAAGCTTGGTTAACAAAGACTCCTTAATAAACCTTAGCCATGTCTGGTGTGATCTTGCTGGCATTCTGTAACAGAACCAGCAGATGGAAGACTTCCTCTCTCTGTCTCTTTTCTCTTCCTCTTTCTCTCTCAGAGAGAGAGAAAAGCGATACATCTTCCATCTGTTGGTTCACTCCCCAAATAGTGCAATAGCTGGAATTAGGCCAGGCTGAAACTAGGAGTGAAGAGCTTCTTGGAAGAACTTAGTCAGTCAATCTAACCTTTTTCCCCTGCTTGATGCTCAGGGCTGGCAACTTGGGGACAGTTGCCCAGGTGCCCTGCAGGGGACCTACCTGCCTACGTGACACCTGTCCCGTCACCTCAATAAAGAACCCCCACCTACCCCTTGAACTAACCAATGGTGTAAGGGTCTCATACAAATGAGGGATACTAAAACTAACCCCCTGATTGGCTGATTTTTGTATACAAACCCTAAGATTTAGAGGTTCGGGGTCTTCGTCTTCGGGGACCCGGGCATGTTCGAATAAACGCTCCTGTCGACTCCTGACTCCTGGTGATTCTTCGGGAAGAGCGGCGGCGGCGGTAGCAGCGGCAGCGGTGGTGACCGAGACCGTGATCTCGGCGACCCTGGCGCCTGCCTAGGGGGTGCGGCGGAGGCGGTAGCAGCAGAAGCGGCGGTGACGGCGGAGGGAAGAAGCAGCGGAGACCACAACCGTGACCACAGTGAAGAGGGCTTGCAGTTGCTCAAGGCCACGACGGCCACAGGTCGTCCCTGGCGTTAGAGCGGCCCAGAGCTGCATGCGGACCGGCCAGCTGTTGGCTAGTGCCGCCGAGCTGTAACACTGTTCCAGGCCCAGCCTGGTCCAGACCGAAAGAGCTGAAACCTCGGCCCCACCTCCGCTTGCTCGTGGCCCACCTGCCTGGCTGAGCCCCTGTCAGGGGAGCCTCGCTCGCTTGCCGCACCCGCCTGCCGGCCAGCCTGGGAACAGAATCCATCCAGCTACCCTGTCTGGAGTGCCGCCACAACACAAGTCTCCCACATGGGGTGCAGGAGCCCAAGCAATTGAGCCATCCTCCACTGCCTTTCTCAGACTCATCAGCAGGGAGCTGGATCAGAACTGGAGCAGCCAGGGCTCAACTAGGCAGACAAATGGGATAGGAATGTTGCAGGATTTTTGACTCTGAGTATGGCAGTAACCTCAAATTCTTCTCTTGCAGGAAAGAAGAATTTTCATGTGGACACAGTTTAGTTTTAAAGCAAGATTTATTAGAAAGGCTGAGAAGAAAAGACTCCCATCCTAGCGACGGGAGGGGGCTTTGAGATAGAAAAGACCCTCACCCCCTGCCATAGTGGCAGGAGGAAAATAAGAACCCTAGTGCTCTGCCATAGTGGCAGGAGGTCAAGAAGCTGAACCCTACCTAGTCCTCTGCCATAGTGGCAGGAGAAGAATAACCCATATCAATGGTAGGGAATGCACCTTTTAAAGGTTTCCCTCAAAGATGTTTCTCCATGAACAAAGAAAATTCCTGGTTTCCATGGTACCTGGCTTGGGACAAAAGGCCACAGAGGTGCCAGACATAGGACATTCCAGGCCTTAGGTAGATGTGTATTACTTCTTCCTGCTCTCCTTTCAATGACAAAGAGATCGGCCTGAGGCCCTCCCACAATGGCCAGAGGAGATGGCCGATACTTCAGGTGGGGAATTGATATGCTAATAGCACCCCTGTCCCTTGGAAGAGACGTGCTCTGGTGAATCCAAGACATGGTGGGGAAATTCTCTTTTACTCGGGGACCCAGAATACCCTAACTGCCTACTACCCACTCTAACTCCTCTCTCAGGAACATTGCGGGAAGAGGCTTAACTTGAAATGCCGACCCCCTCAGAAAAAATAAATCTTAAAAAAAAAAAAAGATACAACTAACAGTAAGCTAGCTAGGAGGTACTAGGTAGTGGATGATGATTTAGGCAGTTTGGGATGTGCGTTTCTTAGGAGGTAACACTTTTGCTGAGACCCAGATGAGATATTGGAAGTCAGCCCTGACACAATGAGAGAGTATGTTCCTAGAGAGGAAACCTGCCCCCAGGTCCCGTTCCTAGAGAGGAAACCTGCCCTCAGGTTCCGTCCCACCTGGCTCACCCCCAGGTCCCGTCCCACCTGGCTCACCCCCCCAGGTCCCGTCCCACCTGGCTCATCCCCCAGGTCCCGTCCCACCTGGCTCATGCCAAGTCTCCAGGGTCTCCCCTCCCCTCTCCAGCTTCACTGGACGTCCAGTCCCCAGACAGACGCACTCTGGAAAGTTGCAGAATCTTTGTCTGGAGCACTTTCACTCCCTTTCTTCTCTCCCTACTTTGCTGAAGTCTCTGATTCAAACTTTGGTCTCTCCTTGAGTGTCAGTTCCGAAGGAGCCCTTCTCTCAACCCGACATCTGTTAATACTCCTTCAAGATGGTTTGAAAACAGTGATCACTGAGTGAGTGACCGATGCGTGTCTGAGTTCTTGGCCAGGCTGCTGAGTTCCAGGGTGGCATGTCTGGTCTCCCTCACCCTCACACAGAGCCTGGCACACAGCAGGCACTTCCTAACAGTGCTGATCTGACAGACTGGCAAGGGCAGGCGTCTTAAGGCATTGGATGTGTGGTAGGAAATCAGATGAATCGGCTTAGACTCGCCTGAAGTGCTTAGACTCAACAGGGCTGTCCGCAGAAGGGTGTTTGCTTTCACGGAAATGAGTGAAATGCTAACCAGATTTCTAGAAGTTTCCTCTGGAAGATGATGGGTTAGGATGAGATGGAATAGAAGAAAGGAGCCCCCAGGTGTGTTGGAAACTTAACCCCTAGTTCTGTGGTATAAGAGGGCAGACGTTTGAGAGGTGATTGTGTCTCCAGGGTTCTGTCCTTGTGGACCTGGGCATGGGTTTAAAGCATCCTGCTCTCATTTTCCCTGGCATTCTTACTCTGTCTTGCCATAATGTGGCCTCTACCATGTTATGATGCAGCTCTCACCCGAGGCTGGTACCATGCTATTTAACTTCCAAGTCTCAGGAGGATGAGTTAAACTATTCAGACATAGGAACAGAAAACATGGACCAGTGCTGTCGTATATAGCATTTGAAGCTGCTGCCTGCAATGCCAGCTTCCCATATGTGCACTGGTTTGAGACCCTAATGCTCTATTTTATTTATTTATTTTTAAAGATTTATTTATTTATTGGAAAGTCAGATATACAGAGAGGAAGAGAGACAGAGAGGAAGATCTTCCGTCCGATGATTCACTCCCCAAGTGAGCGCAACGGCCAATGCTATCCCGATCCAAAACCAGGAGCCAGGAGCTCTTCCAGGTCTTCCACACGGGTGCAGGGTCCCAAGGCTTTGGGCCAGTCCTCGACTGCTTTCCCAGGCCACAAGCAGGGAGCTGGATGGTAAGTGGAGCTGCTGGGATTACAACCGGCGCCCATATGCCATCCCGGCATGTTCAAGGCGAGGACTTTAGCCGCTAGGCCACGCCGCCGGGCCCTAATGCTCTATTTTAAACCCAGCTCTCTTCTAATATGCATGGGAAAGCAGTGGAAGATGGCCCAATTGATTGGGCCCCTGTGCCCACGTGGAAGATCTTGGCATCTACCTTCAGTCTGGCCATTGTGGCCATTTGGAGAGTGAACTAAGACACAGAAGATCTGTATCTTTGTTTCAAACAAACAAATCTTAGAAGAAAAGCAGAAAACAAAGATGCCTAGGAATTAATTATTGGACAAGGTTTAATCACCCGCTGTAGACTGTGGGCATCGGTGACACGAGCAGAGCCAGAGGTGCAGCTCCACTGGGCAGTTTACGGCTGGGACAGCAAGGAAAGACCTCTTCCAGGCCGTCAGTGTCACGGACCCGCTCCTCAGAAAATGCACAGGTTTCAGGGTGTACAGAATAACTTTGTGTCCTCCTTACGGCTAGGAAATAAACTGACAGTGGGTGACCAGCGGAAAACCGTTTTCATCACGGTCCATACACAGAGCCTTGCACTGAGAACGCTTCTGTGGGTGAGATGGAAAAATTTTCCCTCCTTTTGCCTTTTTAGCGCGGAAAGTTGGACGAAGTCCTGGATGAGAACTACATTTCCCTCCATCCCCCGGAGGGGGCGGGAAGCAGACGCCGCTCGGCAGCTTCGGGGCTCAGGAGGCAGAGGGACGTCGCCCCTAGTTCCAGGACCCAGTGTCCCTCTCCACAGCCCAGACCTAACTAGCTTCGTTCCCCTTTCCTGCCACAGCCTTCCGCTCCCGCCCGGAGCTTCCGCTCGCATTCTTCCCTCGGTGTGGGAACCTCCGGCGGGCGGCGCAGCGGGCCGGGAGCCAGCGAGCTCGGCGCATGCGCCCCTCACGCCCGCTCGGCCGGCTCACCTCCCGGCGCCTCCCGCCTTGCGCACGCGCACGCTGCAAACCAACGCCCCGGACTTGAGGCGCGGTTTTGGTGGCGCGTTTCAGCCAAGTCGCACGTGAAGGCAAGCGGTGGCCGCAGCCCGGTGAGTCCCGCCCGGGATCGGGGCTGCGGGGGCGCAGGCGGGGCCGGGAGGCGGCAAGCGGTGACGGCCGCTGGCACGGTGGAGCAGCGAGGCCTGACCGCGCCGGACTGGGGAGGGGTCGGACGTCCGCACCGCGGGCCCTGCGACTTGGGGACCCGATCTCGTTGCTACGCAACCGGGGGCGTCGTTACTAAGTAACCAGGGAGGCTCGCGTTTCCGGGGAGAAGAGGGTTCGACGAGCGGCCCGGAGGTCCAGTGGAGGCGGAGCGGCTTTCGGGCTGGACGATGAGGCCGTCGGTGACCCCTCGGCGCCTGCGGCCCCTGCCCCGCGGCCCAACCTCCTGGCAGCCATGAAGGTCCCGTGTGTCCCCCCCTCCACCCCCCGGGGATACCCCAAAGTCTTGGGCCGCGCCACGTCCCTGGCCAGCGGCGATGCCAGCCTGCAGCCCTTGGCTGGGGCCGCGCTGTTGGAAATAGCACTTGCGACTGATACCCTGTCTGGAGGAGGCCGCGACGCGCCAGGGGAGCTGCCCCCAAGCAGTTGCTGGGCAGCAGCTGTCACCTGGCTTAGCAGCGGCTGCCACCGACCTGCCAGATCGCTGACCACCGTCTGCTCCGCGGCGGCTTCGCCCCGTTCGCACTCAGCTGTGCTTCTCCAGTGACTGCTGTATATTTGGATCAAGTGTTAAAATAACCTCCCTCTCCCCACCTCTCCGTTGTCTCTTTGTTTCTACTGTCACAGCTGCTTGGTGGACCTGGAATGCTCATTGAACAGGCACTTAGTCACAGTTCCGAGCTGGGCGCTGGGCATTGCTAGAGAAGTGAGCGGTGAGGTCTGCCTTGAGGCTCTCCGGGGCGACACATCGCTCAGTGTTGCTAAGGTGTAGCAGCTGGAAGTGGCACTCGGGCAGGTTGCGTGCTGCAACACCTCTGTACTGTTTCCAGTCTACCCAGGGTGTGCAGCAGTTCTTGGCTGCACCCCATTTGACGTTTGAGGAGTTCTGGGTTATCTTAGCAGACAACCTAAGGGTTCACGATGTGGCAGGATTGAACCCATCCTCTACGCCGCTGTGCCTTGGGGGCTTTGCCTAGAATAAGCTTGTCCGTGTGCGGCAGCTGTTGGAAATCCCCAAGGTGCTTTAGAAACTCGGTCTGGGAGAGTCTGAAGGAGTAGCCCCGGGTGGGGCGGACATGCGTGTTTCCTGGGCTGCAGAGGCGGTTCTGCCGGGTAGCAGGGTTGAGAACCGCAGCTGCTCCAGGACATTTTGGAAGCAGGGATGGGGACCACCAGGGCTGGCTGCTACAGCAGCTGCCCCTCCTGCTGTGGAGTGATTCAGAGCAAAAAAAGGAAGAGGAGGAAGGAGGCTGGCTGAGCAGGGGTTGTGTGGGCTGCCCCACCCTAACCTTACAAGGCAAACCACAGCTAAACATATAGTCTCCCCCCCCATTGTACATAAAGCAGCCGGTTCTCTTGGCCCCCTGCCTGAGCCATATTGCCGCCCAGCAGGGGGGGGCATCTTCCTGGAATGCAAGGGTGTCCTCCCACTTGCACTTGTTGGCAGGGACCAGACTGACCTGGGCATGTAGCAGTGCAGGATGAGCCAAAGGACAAGGCTGAGATCTATCCTAGGAGGCAAGAGTCGGTGTGCTGGGCGACACTGGTGAAGTCACTTGATCTCAACGGCCATGCTCTTCTGAGTAAGATGGGCAGAATAATGATGCTCTACAAAGTTGTCCCCAGAGTTAGAGATGGCAAAGAAGCAAGTGCTTTATGAATTATGAAGCACTCTGCCCAAATCATAATTTATGTATGTGAGATGTGAGGGCACTTCCAAAAAAATTCCTTGAAAATGGAATTTTAAAAAATATACTATATTGGGCCCAGCATGGTAGCCTAGTGGCTAAAGTCCTCGCCTTGCACATGCCAGAATTCCGGCGGCCCCACTCCCCATCCAGCTCCCTGCTTGTGGCTTAGGAAAGCAGTCGAGGATGGCCCTAAGCCTTGAGACCCTACATCCGTGTGGGAGACCCAGAAGAGGCTTCTGGCTCCTGGCTTCGTACTGGCTCAGCTCAGGCTGTTGCAGCCTCTTGGGGAGTGAATCATCAGATGGAAGATCTTCTCTGTTGCTCTCCTCTTTGTATAACTTTCAAATAAAAAAAAGCATACTTTGAGTTTATTCTGGTGCAGACTCCTAAAATCCATGTGAAGGGTTTTCATTGCACACACTTCTACAGTGTTATGCAAAAAAAAAAAAAAAAAATTCACCAAAACAAAAATTTGTTTTAAAGATATGTTTATTTTTATTTGAAAATTAGAGGGAGAGATTTTCCATTTGCTGGTTCACTACCCCCAAATGGCAACAATGGCCAGAACTGGGCCCATCTACAGGGTCCCAAGGACTTTAGACCATCCTCTACTGCTTTACCAGGTCATAAGGAGAAAACTGGATTGGAAGTGGAATAGCCAGGATTTGAACTGGTGTCCAGATGGGATGTCAACTCTTGAGGTGGCAGATTAGCCAGTTGAACCATCACGTTGGCCCCTGCTTTTGCTTTTGATTGTAGTGGCCTCTTTCTGTTTTAAAGTAATTGATCTGGCTAAAGTGAGGAGGCATCTGAGGTGGGTCAGATTCATATTGAATGGGATTAAACTGTAAGAAATGGGGAATAACTTGAAACAGACCCTAGTCGTTGGCATTTGTTTTCTCCTTACTCCTAAGTATTTCATGTATTTTCTGATACACCAGCGCCAGTCGGCAGGCAGGGTCATGCCAGTCTCATCGAGGAGGGTTTATTTCAAGGTCCCTCCCCCACCCGCCTCTTGGGAGTCAAAGCTGGCACGGAAGGCCACAGGCTGCTGTGGGAGGAGGAGCACGTGGTACCCTGACCTTCTGGGCTGGAAGACATGACATCCGATTCCTCCTGGTGGAGGTCCTTGGATAAAGGATCCAACCCAAGATAGCAACCTTGCACCCCAATGTGGTTATGGCCCAGATAGCTCAGGAGCTGGCCATGCCTTCCTGTCTCCCAGCACTGGCAGGCAGGAGCCATCTGGCATTACATGTGTGCCAGGAAATGGAGAAGGCTTTCCTAGCCTGAGTTCCCTGCACACAGATTGCGTGTCCCATAGTCCTGCTTGATCCTGCAAGCCTCAGAAGGGGCTTGGGCAGCTGTTTCTGAGCCAACAAGTACCCCCAAAAGCTTATTTTTAGAATTCTTTTCACTAAGCAAGAGTGAGAACCTATTTCTCTTCCTTCCTCCACCGTCTGGATTTCTGCCCAATTCCCTGTGTGCCTTGGTAACTGCGAAAGCTTCCAATACCTGTCTGCCCATTGCTCGGGGCATGGCTTAGAGCTTCAGGTGGAACCAGGGGAACGTCGTGGAGCTGCAGCCCTGAGCCAGGACGAGCACAGGGGTTTGGCAGGTGTTGCGGGACGTTTCTCAAGCGCAGTAGCGAATGGAAGGGCGACCTGCAAACACCGTTCTTGGCCAAGCCTCACCTGCTGAGATGAGTCAGTACTTGTCGGCCCTTCACTCGCGTGTAGCTTCATGTTGTAGGGAAGACTAGAGCACAGAGCCTGTGGTGGCAAGGTGACCTTGTACCCAGAAGTCGCTGAGATCACTGATTGGCAGTTTTCAGTGTATTTTAGTTCAAGTTAATCTATTAAAAAAAAAAAGATGTATTCACTTTTTTATTGGAAAGGCAAATTTTCAGAGAGGAGAAACGGAAAGATCTTCTATCTGTTGGCTCACTCCCAAAATGGCCACAGCTGATCCAATCCAAAGCCAGGAGTCAGGAGCTTCTTCTGGGTCTCCCATGTGGGTACAGGAGCCCAAAGACTTGGGTCATCCTCTGCTGCTTTCCCAGGCCATGACCAAAGAGCTGGATGGGATGGGAAGTGGAGCAGCCAGGACTAGAACCTCTGCCCTTACGGGAAGCTGGCACTGCAAGACGAAAGATTAGCCTGTTGAGCCATGAAAGTGTACTTTTGCATGACTTTCTAAATGACTCCTAAGACTCAAGACTCAAGTTAGAGAAGGTACAGCAGAGGGACTGTGAGGAAGCGTCCAGTGTGGATGTATCTGGATTCAGGTCCTGGTTTCACCATTTCTTGCTTAGCCTTTCTCAGTTTCTTCCTCAAAACAATAGGCGTTACTAGTCCGACCCCAAGGCTGTTGTGAAGACTAAATCAGATAGCCAAATGTCAGTTTTCAGAGTGTGGTTTTAGTCTTTGCCTACATTGAGAGTAGACGGTCTCTGCTTGTGATCTCTTAACACACACACACACACACACACACACACACACACACACACACACAAGAGTTTTTTTTATTTCATCCATAGTTCCTGGCTCACAAGTCCCATAGCCTGTTCCCTAAGTGGCTGAAGCAGGAAGAGTACCTTTGTTAAAACATTTGTCCTTTTGTCCTTGTGGCTAGCAATAACTTAGAACAGTGGGGAAAGTCTGTAATAAACTCTTTCAGATACCTGTGAACTTGGGTTAATGAGGCAGTCTTTGGAACTGGTCGCTAAATAGCCCCGGGCACCAATCTGGCCTCCAGGGATTGGAACTTAAAACCTCACTTCCCAGCCTCCAGGGAGAGAAGGTGGGTTCAAGGGTTGAGTAGCTCTCCAATGGCCAGTGACTTGGTTGGTCCAGTTTTCATAAGGCAGCTTCTATGCAAATCCAGAAAGCACTGCTCAGGCTTCCAGAGGGCCAAATGCGTGGAGATTCCTGGAGGGGGATGCTGGGGAATGGGCCTGGAAGCCCCTCATCCCTTACCCCATATCTGCTCTATGCAGCTCTCATCTGGCCTTTTTTTTTTTCCAGCATCCTTTGTGCTATCTTTACACTATACCGGGAAGTGTAAATGTTTGCTTGGGTTCGGTGAGCTGTTCTAGCAGATTAAATAGCACAGCCCCAGGAGGGGACTGTGGCAATCTCAATTTATAGCCAGTGGGTCAGAAACCCGATTGGCATCTTTAACTTGCCACTGGGATCTGACCTTGTCTCCTGGTGGATGGTGGACATCCAGCTCATGTTCTTGGCAGAACTGCTTGTTTGGTGTGTGCAGAAACCCGTCTCCACTCCAGCACATTTAGTCTTCTGTGTTGTTGAGTGAGAGGAGGGGAGCAGGACCCGGCATGATAGCATAGTGGTTAAGGTCCTCGCTTTGCACTCACTTGAATCCCATATGGGTGCCAATTCTAATCCCGGCGGCCCGCTTCCCATCCAGCTCCCTGCTTATGACCTGGGAAAGCAGTAGAGGACAGCCCAAAGCCTTGGGACCCTGCGCCCGTGTGGAAGACCTGGAAGAGCTCCTGGCTCCTGGCTTTGGATGGGCACAGCACCGGCCGTTGCGGCCTCTTGGGGAGTGAATCATCGAATGGAAGATCTTCCTCTCTGTCTCTCCTCCTCTCAGTATATCTGCCTTTCCAATAAAAACAAATAAATCTTAAAAAAAAAAAAAAGTACGGGAGCAGCTGAATGTGGGACCTGTGCTTTGCCCTATGTACTTTGACTTTGAGTGAATTTGGGATTTGGAAGCTAAAGCTTGGGTTCAAATCTTGGCCTTTCTACTTCTCAGCCCAGTGACTTTTAACTTCTCTTGATTCTTCTTATCTGTCCCAATAGGGTGAGGAGGAGTAAAATAGCCACTTCTTGTGACGGTCCTTCAGGGACAATGACAGATGCTCAGTTACTCTTGTTTGAGCATATAACCAATCACTTTACCTTACCCTCATTTTATGGTGGCAATCCTCCCTGTCTGTGCTAGCCCCAAGTGGCTTTTTTTTTAAGATTTATTATTGTTGGACAGGCAGATTTACAGAAAGACCTTCCGTCTGCTGGTTCACTCCCTAAATGGCTGCAACAGCCTGAGCTGAGCCAATCTGAAGCCAGGAGCCAAGAGCTTCTGGGTCTCCCATGTGGATGCAGAGTCCCAAGGCTTTGGGTCATCCTCGACTGCTTTCCCAGGCCACAAGCAGGGAGCTGGATGGGAAGTGGAGCCGCTGGGATACAAATCCATATGGGATGCTGGTGCTTGTAAGTAGAGGATTAGCCAATTGAGTCATCACCCCAGTCTCTCCCTCCCCACCTGCCGGAATCCAATTCCAGCCAAGTTCGGAACTCGCGAAGGGGCGAAGGGTGCGTGGATGAGGCGCAAAGAGAAAAAACAGTGGACCACTACAATTTCATGATCATAATGGATAATGTGGGGAAAGCTGTCCGTTTTATTTAGACAGAAACAGTAAAACTCTGGCTCAGACTCATGGTCAAGTGGGTGTTTCTAAGGATAATTCTGCCATTTGTTTTACCTAAAAACAATAGAAGTTCCTCCTTCTACAACTCAATTTTGTATCACAAAGGAGAACCTAAAGATCAAGGAAAGAATGAAGTCCTAAGTACAGGACCTCTGATTAGCATAAGGTCAATGGGACAGCCAAGACAGAATGAATAATAGAAGGTCATTTTGCAAGACATTATTATTGACATTAACCTCCAAGCTCACATTGGGTAAAAAGCCAACTCCACAGTGGCAAACAATGCCTGAATGGATTGGAATTCTTCTGTAGGGCTGTCCTGTGTCCATGCAAAGGAAGGTGGAGCTGCATTCAGGTGGTTGTAGAGATATCTGCTGGGCCCTGCCATACAAGGGGAAAGTTCCTTGTGGCCCTCTCTGCAGTGGAACAATGCTCTGCACACCTTCGTGTCCCCCACATCCACTGCACGGACCCCAACACCCACACACACACAAAGCGACTTTTTATACTAGTTTTATCTTTTGCATTTCACTTTATTTTTTTCCCCTCTTGTGTCTGCATGAGGCGGAGACAGGGCCACTCTGTGTTGTCAAACTACACTGGAACCCAGATCGTACAATCTGACGATACCTTAGAGATGCTGATGTAGGGAAGACTGTTCCAAGGGTGTTATTTCAATGGTTTTGATAGTTCTGAGACACTGATGGATTCATTGTACCAGGACTGAGAAAATCTTTCCAAGGTCTGTTGGCTGACCAAATCCACCTTAGTGCATCCAGAGACCCAGGAATATGTTGCAAAGTTTGGCCAGCAGAGTGGTCCAACTGGTTTTATTCTCTCTCCTCTGCCAAAGCCCTCAGTGTCCTCTACTGGCTTAGGGGAGCTGGCTGTCCACTGCATAGGCATCAGCAACCGAGGAGACCCAATCCCGATACCTGCACTCCATATATTGTGCTTTTCCCTATGGCTGGTGTTTGAGTCCATCTAGTTGGGGAGTCCTCCAAGAAACCTCAACTGGAGTGACAATGGAGTTGACTCTTATGTGCGCCAGCCAGTGCAGGGTCAGGTGTGATGTGTCACCTGCACCAGCCAATGCACATACTGGTGGATGCAGCTAGCTGCCTGGTCAGTTTCACCCATAGACCCAGGCTTCCTGCACAATAGCAGGTGCCACAGCCAAACTGGGGCAACCTCCAGTAACCCCCACTAGGCCCACTCCCAGCTTCAGTATCTGACATGTATTGCAGCTTAGTTTGGTCCATCCCACATCTCATCTGACTCTCGTGCATACTTCTGGGTGCTTAGCTGAACCTGACCCACCCCCATCTGTGGCTCACATGCCCACCAGCAAGAGCTGCAGCCCAGCAGGGAAGTGCCCACAGTTCCCCCTACCAAGCTTGTTCCCAGCCCTGGATCTTACTGTGGTCCAACCTGACATGATTATTACCCAGTCCTAGCACTTGCCAGCTGGTCGCAGCCTAGCCTGGCTAGCCTGCTCCCAATCTGCCTATCATGCATGCTGGCAGGTGTAGCATCCTAGCCCAGCCTGGGTCACCCCCAGACTGGCTCATCCCCAGTCTCAACTATCACGCTCACCAATGGAAACAGCAACCCAGTTAAGGGAGTTCTCAAAGTTCCTCTACCAGGCTCACTCCCAGCCCGGATTCTTGTGCATGCCAGCAGGTGCTGAGGCCCAGTCTGAGATGGCCCACCCCTTGTCTCAGCATTCACCAACAGGTACTACAACCTGGCTCAGTCCAGCCTGTCCCTAGTCCCAGCTCTCATGGGTACTATAGCCTACCTTCCGACCCAGCTCTCATGTGAACCAGTGGGTGCTACAGCCTTGCCTGCCCTGCTTCATACTCATTCTGGCTCTCATTTAGTGCCAGTGGGTGCTAGAACCCAACCCAGCCAGGCCCAGCTTAGCCCACCAAACTCAGCCCACATGCCAGTGTGTGCTACAGCCTTGCCCATCCTGGTCTGTCCTCAGCCCCCACTCTCACACTTGCCAGTGGGAGTTGCAGCCTAGCAGGGGAGTCCCCAAAGTTTCCCTGCCAGGCCCATTCCCAGCCCCAGATCTTGCACATGCTAGAGGGTGCTTCAATCCAGCCTGGCACAGCCCATCTGCAGTCTCAGCTCTTGGCGGGGGTTGCCCACTCCCTGTCCTAGGTCTCCTGTGTATCAGCTTTATCTTAAGTAAATTATATACTCCTTGGGGCAGAGCCTTAGAGGTGCCCATAGCACCTAACACAGAGGGCTTCGGGTAGTTGGCCCACAGAGAGCTCTTCTTGTGCTTTAGAAGGGACTGAATAATGCTCACTACTTATATGTGTGTGGTGAGGAATGTGAAAGAGGACCCTCTAAATCAGATGACTAAGTACTTCTGACCTTGAAAGTCTCAGTTCCTCCTTTCTCAGCTAACAGCCCTTTCCTTCTTACTTTAGCTTGGGTGCTTGCTGGGGCAGGGGGAGAAGGTATTGGGGCAACTCAGAACCTGGGGAGTAGGTGTGTTTGCCGAGCCTGGCCTTCAGCTCTCACCCTGTGCCTCTCTCCTGGCAGATCCACTATGGCAGGCTTGGGCAACAGTGCCCCATGGAGCAAGTGTCTGTTCAAAGCCTTCCTAATGGTCCTGGTGGCCATCCTCCTGCTTCACTCAGCCTTGGCCCAGTCCCATCGAGACTTTGGACCTCCAGGTCGGCAGAAGAGGGAGGCTCCAGTTGACCTCCTGACCCAGGTTGGTCGCTCCATGCGGGAAACACTGGATACCTGGATTGGGCCAGAAAACATGAACCTGATTTCAGAGGTAAGGAAAATGGTCTGTGTGACTGTGGCCATTAGAGGAAGATAAGAGAAGCTGTTGGTGACCTTGGCCCCGTATCTTCCCTGTGGTATACTCCCTGGTGTAGAGCCCAGATTCCCTGAAGAAGCCGGATACCACCTGCCTTTCGCCTCCTTTTTTGATTCATCCCCTTGGGCCTTTCCGATCCACCCCCATCCTACCCTGGCTTTTCCCTTTCTTTGCCAAAAAGGTTGGGACATGAGCCATTTGTATAATCCCATGCCATTGCGTGACTACAAAGTCTAACTTTGGCATAAAGCAAAATGTAAAAATTATTATTTTGGGATTTATTTATTTATTTAAAGACAGAGAAAGCTCTTCCATCCTCTGGTTTGGAATTCAGTCCAGCTCTCTGATGTTGGAATACTGGCATCACAGTGAGCAGCTTAACTTGCAGCGCCACAACCCCAGCCCACCCTCCCACCCCCCACCGCCCCGAGTCTCCAACAGGCACAGAATCAAAAGCCGAGTCCATGCCTTCAGCTGTAGGTGTGGGGCTGCTCTGCAGCTTCACCCCGGGTCATCTCTTCTATTCACTGCCATCTCCAGCCTAATGTCGTATCCCTTTGGTTGATCGTGCTGAAGGGCTAAGAGGGTCAACTACAAAATGGTTAAATATGGGGCCCCTGACAGACCTTGTTTCATTGAAATGTTTTAGCCCTTACAGATGTCCCTCATGTTCTTTCCTGCTATGTAGGGGACTGGCAGGACCCCAGTTTTTTAGGGTGACAGGTAAAGGGATTTATTGATCCATACTCGCATAAGTGACACAAGTGCCTCTACTACTACCTCCAGAGTAGCCGAGCAAATTGGTTGGATTAGATCCCAGTTGTCCTGGGTTCCAATTCAGGATCTTCTGCCTGTCCCTGTGTCCTGGAAGGTGGGTGTGGAAGGGCCCCTTCAGCCAGACCCGGGAGCTCTAAACCTCTGCTCTGGGCCCACCACCTTGGCAGCAGAGCAGGCCGGACATGTTCCTGTAGCCTGGCCTGGACAGTGGGGGCCAGGCTTGGAGGAAGGAAGCATGGTGACTTGTGGACTCGTCTCACCTAGTGCTGTTTCTGCAGACCCTGTCTCAGGCGATGTGGGCCATCTCCTCTGCCATCTCCGTGGCCTTCTTTGCTCTGTCTGGGATCGCTGCCCAGCTGCTGAATGCCCTGGGACTCGATGGTGAGTGCAGAGATCTGGCTAGCCAGCCAGAGCTGCCCTGCATTTCCCTGTGTGTGTGCGAGTTTACCTTTGTCAGGATTTAGCCCTTTTCCCTACATCTCCGGGAGACTCGGAGAACAGGCTCCCCCTGTGCTCAGCACCTCCCTCCTTGGGCCTCCCACTCCCCTTTCCCCTTTGACACTTCTCTAGATTGCCTGACGCCATGTCTCTCCTCCTCTTCCAGGTGAACACCTGACCCAGGGCCTGAAGCTCAGTCCCAGCCAGGTCCAGACCTTCCTGCTGTGGGGAGCAGGGGCCCTCATCGTCTACTGGCTGTTGTCCCTGCTGCTCGGCTTGGTCTTGGCCTTGTTGGGGCGGATCCTGGGGGGTCTGAAGCTTGTCATCTTCCTGGTGGGCTTTGTGGCCCTGGTGAGGTCAGTGCCCGATCCTTCCACTCGGGCCCTGCTACTGCTGGCCTTGCTGACCCTGTATGCCTTGCTGAGCCGGCTCACAGGCAGCCGGGCATCCGGGGCCCAGCTGGAGGCCAAGGTGCGAGGGCTGGAGCGCCAGGTGGACGAGCTGCGCTGGAGGCAGAGGCGAGCGGCCAAGGGGGCTCGGAGCGTGGAGGAAGAATGAGGCAACCCCCCCAACGCCACCTTCGCCATACCAAAGAGCTGAGCTGTTCCAGGCTCGCGCAGCCTTCCCGCCGGCGGCCCCTGCCCATTTTGCCTGTCTGGGCCCCAGATGAGAGAGGAAAAGTATTGCTCTGTCCTCTGAGGGTCTCTCTCTCTCGGGCTGGCTCTCTTCAGCCGTTCTCTGCCCCAGCCAGCCCCAGCCAGGGCAGGTTGGAGTGGCCTCCCCTCTCGCCCAGCCTCTGCATCTGTTCTCAGCTCCCATCACTGCCATTGGTCTCCTGGTGACTAAACCAGCTCCCCCTGCCCCCCCTGCTGCTGCCTGCTGATGCTCTCCCAATCCCTGGACTTCTGCAGCTCCTCTTTGGCTAAGCCCAGCTCCTTCCCATTGTTCTCCTCCTTTCAGCCCTGCGTGCCCGCCAACCCACAGCCCCAACAGCCTGCTCCTGTCCTTTCCATTGCCCAGCTATAGGGCAGAGGCAGGGGCTGTTGGGGGGCGGCGGGAGCGGGTCCCCTGAGGCCCGTGGGACTTTGGGAAGATGTATGGGGGAGTCTTACAAGTGCCTTAATCCGAGCCAGCAGGGCCCTCTACTGCTTGCCCACTCAGTGCTGGACAGAGCAAAGCATGTGGAGTCGCTTTGTTGTTGGGAAGAAAGCAGTCTCTCAGCATCTCCACTCGACTGCTGCTTCCAAGGCTTGTGTCCGCCAGCAGGAAGCCGCAGTGGCCCGCCCCCTGTCCTGTGGGGATGTCAGCGCCCACCCTCAGTAAAGCAGCAAGGCTACCCCGCTGGCTGCCCCTCCCCACCGGAGTCTAGCACCTGCTGGTCGGAATCCACTTCCTTCTTGAAGTGGAAATGGGTTTCCTCTGCCAGGCCTGGCACACGCTGGGAGGGAGACATGCTCGGTTCTGACAATTAAGATTTAATGTGGAATCATGGCCGCAGTGATATGTATTTTTTTTCCCAGCGCTTGGATGGTTTTAAATAAAGTGCACGCTATTTTATTATCTTGTTCTGAATAAAGAGTATTTACTCAAAAAAGTCTGGATTGCTCTCCTGTCTCCCTCTGCTGACTGAGGAACCCGGTGCTGTAGCGTAGCTGCCTTCCCGACTTCTGCCGATAGGGGCGGTGTGCAGCTGGTAGATACAGAGGGAGCTGAAAAGATAGGCTGGGACCCACTACCTTCCCTCCTGGAGGGAGGATGTGGATGGAGGGCCTGGCCGCTGGGTCGCAGCCCTTGCTGGAAGCGGCCAGCGCCGTGGGAACCTGGATGTGTGGTCGCTGATGGGTGTCGCAGCCCGGAGAAGCGTTGCCGCTTTCCCTGCTCCCACTGGATTGCTTTTTGTACCCAGGGGATGGAATTTTTTTTTTTTGGAGGAGGCAGACTTGAGCCTCCCCCCTCCCCCCATAAGCTGCCCCCAGGGTTGCCAGTGTGCAAGCACATCTGTTAGGGACTTCCTTCAATGCTGCCTGGCAGGCATAGCTGGCAGGCCCCTGCTCCAGGCTTTCTCCAGGGAGCAGGGAGCTTGGCCAGCCCTTCCAGGGCTCCTGGGCCTCTCCCAGGGTGGGGCTGGGAAGCCAAGAGCCTTCCCTCCTAAAGGTGGCCCAGCGCTTTGCCAGGGCAGGCCCTGGTGCTTGTCATCTGGCTCTCTTTTTCTGCCCTAGCAGCTCCCTTCCCCTGAGTCTTTGAATTCTGGTTTTGATTCAGGTGTCAGATGCCTTTACAGGTGAGCTGCCTGTGACACAGAAGAAGTGGCTTTTTTCCTCCGTGGCCGAGAGCTTCCGAGGGGGAGCCCATGGAGCTGGACACCGTGTGTCCCTCCTGGCTGAGGCGGGTCCCCCGGGAAAAGTCGAGGGGGGCGCTCTGGGGTTCGCGATCCGCGGGGCACTAGGACCCGGCGGGGCGGAGGGGGCAGCCCATGTGCTGCGCTCTGCTCCCTCCCATCCCACAGCTCCCTCTCCATTGTCTGGGAACTGCAGCCGCGGGGCGGGCGCACGGGTTGGCGGCGGCGGGGACCCGGCTGGCTGGCTGGCCCGCGCGGGAGCGGGCGTGGGAGATGCCGCGCTGCACCACGGCCACCTGAGCCGTCCGCCTGGTTCCCGTCTTCCGCGGGAAGGATGTGCGCCGGGATGGCGGGGCGCGCGGCGGCGGCCCCCCGGGGGCCCTACGGTCCCTGGCTCTGCCTCCTGCTGGCCCTGGCCCTGGACTTTCGGAGAGGTCAGCCGGAGGGGAGGAGAGGGGCGGGGCGAGGGGCGGCAGGGCCTGGGCGCGGGCCGAGCAGGAGTGCTGTCCCGGAGCCTGGCGTCTTCGGGATCTCGGGCTGAGAGCCGGGTCACGTCGTTGCGCGCCCTCAGGGCTTCAAAGATTACCCCCCCCCCCCCACCTGAGGAACCTGACCCCGGCAGCCTGCCCCTATGGCTTCCTTCACTTCGCACCATCCGACAGCTCCCGAGCAAGGCTAGCCTGGCCCAGCGACTCTCCTCCGGATCTGCGCACACGTACCCTTGGCGTGTGTCCGCTCCGGCCGGGGCATCTAGCCGTGTGTCCCCTGTCCGAGGCGCGCCGGGGTCTCCACTGCATCCTGAAATGCCGAGCGTAGAGCTGCACTCCTCTGGCTCCTCGCTCCCCATCCCGTCCCCCCCGGCTGGTTCCCGGACGGGAAAGGAACGCAGTCCCTTTAGGCAGGGATTTGGCGAGCTGGTCCGCCTCCCTGCCCCAGGAGGAGCTCTCCGACCTTGGAGACTCCCGGGCTGGCCCCATCCTCTCTTCCGGAGCCCTGGTGGGGGTTATGCCCCTGATGGAAGGGGCAGCGACTTTCCTGTGCCTGAGGGTGGTGGTCGGACCTGGGGGTCTTAGGGGTGGGAGCGAAGTGATTGATGAGGGGTGGGTGGGAGGGGACAGTGAGGCTTTCTCTGCCCCCCTCCCCAGTCCTCCCCTGAAGCTGAGCTCTGGGTGATGGGAGTGCGTGGGAGCCAGGCTCCTGAGCTTCTGGTAATTACAGAGGCTGTGGAGTAGGAGAACCCGGGGCCAGGGGCTACCCCAGGGGGCAAGAGTCACTCACTTGTTACACTGGGGGGAGGGGCCAAAGGGAGCATCTCAGACACTTTCTCCTGGGGGCGGAGGTCAAGGAGGAGATTGAAACCGGTTCCCAGCCTCCCACAGCCCTGCTGTGTGGCCCGCTCTGGGCTGCTCTCAGCCACCTGCTCTCCACCCGGAGGGACCCCAGGGGAGCCCTAATAGCTGTTGCCATAAAGAGAGGAGGAACGCCTGGGCAGGTCCATTAGGCGACTGCCAGCATCCCTGTTCCTGGCCGCCTGTGGAAAGCCTTCTCCGGCCCCAGGGTTACCCAATGCCTGTTCTACAGGTGAGGAAAGCCAGGCTCGGGCATGGGGATGAGCAGCTGAGACCGAGGACAGGCCTCCACACTCCCAGGAAGTGCTCTCCCAGCTTGGGGAATTCCAGGATGAGTCAGACAAGCCCCCAGCTGATACACAGAGAACTGATCCAGAGGAAGCAGCAGCGAGGCCTGCACGGTCTTAGGCAGCTGTCTGCCTCATTCAAGCGGGCTTCTGGAGAAGGAAGCAGCTTTCCCTCTTGGTCTTGCAGGAGCGAGGCACAGTTGGGGGTGGGAGTAAGGGGCAGCCGGCAGGGTGGAGAGACAGGTGGTGGAGGGAGAGGCAGGGTAGTCTGGTGGGTGGTGCCTGGCTTGGCTCCCTGCTCTGAGACCACAGGCAGCCACCCTTAGCCTCAGCAGGACTAACAGTGGTGGAACCTGGTTCTCAGAGTTGTAGTAAGGAGAGAGCAATGGAGGCATGTAAAATGTTTCACGTAGTATCTGCTTACCGTTCAAAGAAGCTCATTACTATTGTTGAGTTCCAATACAGGCTCGGTGCTCCTTCGTCCTGAGGAGGGACTGTTTTGACTTCCTCCCCAGCCTTGTAGTTCCCACCTTAACCCCAGGACAGACAAGTAGCTTCGAGGACCTCTCCAGCAGCCCCTCTGGTCCCACCGGTGCATCTTGGTACCCAGTCAGGGCAGGGGAAAGGGAGGGAGGTACAGCTGAAAAGATGGCGAGGCTTGATTTGGCAATGTCACGGTGTGTTGGAGGGGGTGGGGGGAGGGGTTAAAGGAGGAGAGGATGCCTAGCCAGGTTAGGTCAGATCCAGGTGCCAGGAAAGGGTGTCAGCGCCTACGAAACCCACCTCCTCACCATCTTGGACCACACAGACCCTGTGTGGGAGAGTACCAGGGACCAGTAGCATCCTGCCTCCGGAATGGCAGGGGGCTGTGTAGAGCAGACACTGAGAAGGCTGCGCTGCCGGGGAGCTTGCCAGGGAAGCGGCCAGGTCTGTGGATGGCGGCAGGAGTGGTTCGGCAGCTTGCATCTGGTCCTGCACTCAGATGCAAATCCTGACCATGTCCCATGTTATATGTAGAAGTCTCTGTGAGCGTTAGCTACATTGCCTGTGATGGGGGATCCCCCCCGCCAGTCTTTTTCTTGCTTGCCCACCACCCAGTGCTTCCGTTCAGCCCCTGCCAGTTCTGGAACTGTCATCCTCTCTATCCCTTGTGCCTCACAGCGGGCTGTGACCAGGACCCCTCGGACCCCTTGTACCTGCCAGCAGCCCTGGAGCTCCTTGATGCCCCTGGGCACTTTCGTGTGCAGCAGCTAGGCCACTACCCACCAGCCAACTCCTCCTTGGGCTCACGTTCCGAGACCTTCCTACTCCTGCAGCCCTGGCCCAGGGCCCAGCCACTTCTCCGGGCCTCCTACCCGCCGTTTGCCACTCAGCAGGTAAGGTGGTGTGGGTGGCTGAGAGGGGTTCTAGGGGCTCCCAGACCCAGCCGTGCTCCCCTTTCCCAGCAGGCAGAAGCTCACACATGTAGCAGGTTTCTCCTGCCCAGCTGAGATTAGAAGCCTAGGGTTGTATTTTTGCAGATCTGTTCCCCCCGCCCCCACCTTCTTGCTTGATCATTCCTTGTTCTCTCTGCAGGTGGTCCCCCCTCGGGTCACTGAACCTCACCAACGGCCGGTTCCCTGGGACGTGCGGGCCGTTTCAGTGGAAGCCTCCGTGACTCCCGCACAGCCCCATGCACGTGTCCTGTTCCACCTCAAAGGGCAGGATTGGCCACCGGGACCTAGCAGCCTGCCATGTGCCCGGCTGCATGCCACCCACGATGCTGGCACTGCCCACCGAGCCTGCCGTTTCCAGGTAGGTGAGCTGGCCCTGCTGCTTGCTGCTGCTGCTGCTGTCCCCAGAGGGTAGTTCCGGAGAGGAGACGAACAGGTGCACCACTCCTGGAAATATGGGGCTCCACTTGCTTGCAGTCCCATTAAAGCTCACTGTGTGCGGTGTTGGGCAAGCAAATCCATCTCCAAGACTCAGTGTCCTCATCTGTAAAATGGTATAACAGGAATCCTACCTCTCCTGGTATCGGAGTAGGAAATGAGACGAAGGCAAGAGCAGCTCCTGCCGCTATCTTGAGTCTGGCCCAGGAAGCCATGGGAGAGAAATGTTTCTCGGGCTGGAAAGACTGAATCCTGGCTAGAGCAGGCCTGGGTTCTCCAGCAGGGCTAGGGTGAGTAGGATGAGGTGCTTCCGAGTGAGACTATTCCCAATGGTGCGAAAGAGACGGTAAGGATTCTGAGACCTAGGCCTGGTTGCACACATCACCTGCTGTAGGTTTCTCTGTGCCTTTCTTGGGCCCCTGGTACTCTGAGATTCCATCATGGGTGCTGGGGACATCTCCGTGTCCACTCTGTACCATCCATGGCCTCTGTGTCTTTGCAGCCATCCCTGGGTGCCTGCGTGGTGGAGCTGGAGCTTCCCTCACACTGGTTCTCCCAGGGCTCTGCCACGCGGGCTGAACTGGCTTACACGCTGGAGCCAGCCAGCGAGGGCCCAGGGGGCTGTGACCCCGACGGGGAGGAGGACGCTGTGGAGCAGGCCCTCCCAGTGGGCAGTGTGGAGTTGCGGGCAGCAGACCCTCCGCAGCACCAGGAGATACCCTTGGATGAGGCAGTCACTTTGCGGGTACCTGATGTGCCAGTGAGGCCTGGCCAGCTCTTCAATGCCAGTGTCCTGCTCCGGCACAACTTCACGGCCAGCCTCCTGACTCTGCGGTAAGCTCTAGGCCTTGGGGTGTGGGGAGGAACTGGGGACCTCTGAGGGACCACGCCTGCTCTTCTTGGTGACTTTGCTGGAAACCTTGACCTCTGCAACAGGGGAGACCACCAGATCCCTCCAGGCAAGTCTGTGAGGGCTGGGACAGTCCCTGTGATGGTACAGCGCTGAATCCTGGGTCCTAAGTGAGAAGTCTCCCTTCACCCTGGGCCCCTCCATGAGAGTCCTTTGTGCAATAGGACTGCCATTCCCCACCCTCCAAGAGTGACTACAAGGCTCCAGGCAAGGGAGGCAGGAAAAGCAAAGTTCTAGAAACGAGGGGGCAGGACAGAGGGTTGGCCCTTGCTCTCCCAGCCCCCAGGAAGGATGCTGGCCCCAGGCACATGCACCTGCCGCTCTTGCCACACAAGCCTAGCCTGTGGACAGAGCCCTGTCCTCCCCTGAGGGAAACCTCTCCTGCAGCCCCTCCCTCCCTGGTCTAAACAACCAGGATTTATAGCGGAACTCACCCTTCGCATGCGTGGATCTGTACGGGTCCCATCCCTGGGCGACTCCCCATCTCCTGTGCCCTCTGCTCACTGACACACTCATGAAGCAGTTGTTTCCCGGACGCTTTGTGATCCCCAGCCGAACGTCCCGACTCTGGCTGCATTCCGTGTGGGTGAGGCAGGCAGAAGTGTTGGTACAACATAGCCCCAAATGAGCCTGGACTAGAACCCAGATGGCCTCGAATACCAGCTAAGACTTGACCTTCTGGGGAGTCCTAGGGGGTCCTTGGGTGCAGCAGAGCTAGCTGGTGTGACTGGCATTGAGGTGGGGTCCTTCTGTTTGGGCAATGGCCAGAGGGGATCAGACCAGAGCCAGGATGGCCAGGAAGGCAATTGATGTCTTTAGCTCCTTATCCTCCCCCTTGGACCCAGCCCGCAGTTCAGAACCCACCCTGACAAACTGGACCTGTCACCTCTCCCCAGGATTAAGGTGAAAAAGGGGCTGCATGTGACAGCTGCCCGCCCAGCCCAGCCCACCCTCTGGACCGCCAAGCTGGACCGCTTCAAGGGCTCTAAACACCACACCACGCTGATCACGTGCCGTCGTGTCGGGGACACAGGGCCAGATTCCAGGTGCGCAGTGCCCTATCCCTGGGGCAGAGGAGGGACGGCTGGCCCTGCAGCGGTAGTGGACAGTTTTGGGGAACCAGGAGAGGGGGGATGGCTATGCATACTGCACCTGAATCCCCATGTGGGGAGGCACAGGAACAAGGTCTTATTCATTCAACCATCATTTATGCAGACCCAGGGACAAGTGCCTGTGAGTCTTGCTCTACAGCCTAGCATAGCAACCTAGTTGCTGTCTCACAGCCACTACCCACCTGCCACCAAATGAACTTGTTTCCCTGCATCATTGACGTGTCCTGAAACAGCCCAGCCACAGTTCTTCACATGTGCAATCTTCTTAGTCACACCTTGAGCCTGGCTCGAGGTCATGGAAGCTGAAACCTGTTTGAACCCTGCTTCTGGCACTTTTTTGGATGAATAACCTTGAGCTCAGCCTCAGTTCCCTCATTTGCAAAATGGGAATAGTCATGGCATTGCTTGCGATTTGTGAAAATAAAATATTACACCGCACAGCAGGCACCCAGGGCAGCTACTAGCTCACAGTAGGTGTTGAATTCAAAGGAGCTCCATGGGTTGCTATTCAGAGGGTTGAGTGTCCAGTTCTGGGAGTTTCCCTCCTTGGTGGAAATGAACATCAGACGTTTTTCCATCCCAATGGCTGTGGGAATCGGGGTCTGCGTGGATGAGACCAGGAGAGCCAACTACAATCCTGGGAGGGGGTGAAGTGTCTGCGAGTTTCTGCAAGAGGCCCGGAGTAGACCAAGGCTCAGGACTGTGGGTCCAGGATGCCTGACTTTAATAATCACCCTGTCGTTTCCCACTGTGCGACCATAGGATAGTTTCCACTCCTCTGGGCCTTAGTTTTATCATCTGTGAAATGGGGCTAGTCCTAGTGCCTACCCTGTGGATGTAGGCAGTGCTTAGGGAAGCATCTGGTGGCTGCAACTCACTAAATTCCTCTCTCTTCTGGCTAGCAGTGCCGTTGAACTCTCCGAGTTCCTGTGGGTGGACTTTGTGGTGGAGAATGGCACCAGTGGGGGTGTGGCGGTCACTCGCCCTGTCACTTGGCAGCTGGAGTACCCAGGCCAGGCCCCTGAAGCAGAGAAGGACAAAATGGTATGGGAAGTCCTGGTGTCGGAGCGGGACATAAGAGCCCTCGTCCCACTGGCCAAGGTAAGGGGCCTCTGCCTCTGGCTGGCAGGCTGGGGGCCAAGTCCCTAGGGGCTCTGTGACCTGGGGGCAGGTGGGGGAGCTTGGGGCTGAGCCCTCCCTGCTCCCCTCCAGGCCGAGGAGCTGGTGAACACGGCACCATTGACTGGAGTGCCCCAGCGTGTCCCCGTGCGTCTTGTCACCGTGGAAGGCGGGGGAGCCCTGGTGGAAGTGACAGAGCACATTGGCTGCGAGTCTGTCAACACACAGGTCTTACAGGTGAGTGACAGGTGTCCACACTGGTCAGTGAGTGTGTGTGTGTGTGTGTGTGTGTGCATAGTGCCACCCACACATAGGAGACCTTCCCTGTGAGGGCCCAAGAGAAACAGCTTCTTTGGGTGACCAGAAACCTAAAGGGTGTGGGTGCGGGGGACCACAGCTTCAACTTCTTGCAGCCCTACCACCTCTCTCCATCCAGTCAAGCCTCAGGCCCCTCCACCTCCCATGTTTGCCTTGGCAAAGGAGCTGAGCTGGGGGAGTCAACCTTGGGATCTGAAAGTTCTAGTTTGAAGCCCACCTTCGTTACCCAGCTAGCTGTGAGGGTGTGGGCAAGTCTCCTGACCTCTCTGGGCCTCATGGTCCTGAAATTTAAAGATGTCTTTGAGTTGTTCCAAGAATGGCAAGCACCCAAGCCTGGGTCCAGCAGAGAGCGGGAGGTGAAGCCACAGCAGCTGCTGCTGTTAGGATAGTAATATCATGATTATGTAGTGATAAAAATAGTCATTACTGTTATTACTGGAGCCTCCTCATGACCTGTGAGGTTCAAGGTGAGGAGGACAACTTTTTCTGTTTGAAGTTCTAAGGGGGGAAGGCACGGAGCTCATGAATCGGATTCTGGTCGCCTGCATGAATGAAGGTGTGTCTGCCCAGCCTGTGGCTCTCCTGCGTGTGTTGTGTGGGAAGCTCTGCCTTGCCCTCCCACCTCTGTCTGCTTAGCTGGTTGTCAGGGGCCCCCCAGATCGATGTCAGATCCTTGGAATACTGAGCAGCAAAAGTTGTGAGTTCAAATCCCTGCTCCGTTATGTGCCATTAGCCAGCTTTCGCAGGTGAACCCCAGTTGAATTCAGGGCATGGCCTGGTTCCTCCAGGAGGTGTGAATCTTGGGTTTATAGCAAAAGTCTGAAACCAAGGACAGTTGGTATGCCTGGCAAGACCACCATCTCAAACATTACAAAGGAAAGCCCTGAATTTCAGTGACAGCCCCTCCTTTTGTTTATTTTCAGCTGTTTGAAAGGCAGAGAGACAGAGAGACTGGGACAGAGAGACAGAGAGAAACATCTTCAACCAGTTGGTTCACTTCCTAAATGCCCACAAGAGCCAGGACTGGGCCAGGCTGAAAGCCAGGAGCCTAGAACTCTGTCCAGGTCTCCAACATGGGTGGCAGGGACCCAAGTACTTGGATCAACTGCTGGATCAGAAGCACAGGGGCCAGAAACGGAACCAGGCACTCCCAGACCCGATGTAGGCATCCCAAAGGGCAGTTTAGCCCACCACGCACCCACCCCATGGGCCGTCTTAAAGCCTACTCATGCCCTCTGCCCTCCCACAGGTATCTGAGGCCTGTGATGCCGTGTTTGTGGCTGGCACAGAGAGCCGGGGCGCGCGTGGGGTGCGGGTGGACTTCTGGTGGCGTCGGCTCCGGGCCTCGTTGCAGCTGACGGTGTGGGCCCCACTGCTGCCCCTGCGCATCGAGCTGACCGACACCACCCTGGAGCAGATCCGTGGCTGGAGGGTGCCTGGGCCAGCTGAAGGGTGAGTGCAGGTCTGCGAAGCTGGCAGGCATGGGCCCCAGCTGAGGTCTGACCCATCCTGCCCTTGTCCACCTTACCTCCGACCACTCTGTTGGCACTCCAGGCTCCCCCTCCTGCCTTTCCACCACAGCCTTCCAAACTTCTTTATCTCCTGGGTGCACCTGTTTGAGAGTGGAAGCCCCTGGGGTGCAGACAGGAGTTCCTGTCCACTGTTTACTGCATTGTCCACTTGGAAGCAGGTGGCTTTTCATATGCCCATCCTCTGATCATGGGGCTTGCACATGAGCGCCTCGAGTGGGCAGCTGAGTTGAAAGAGCAGGAAATTCTCAAAGGGTTCAACGTCTCAGCCCTGGCCACTCCTCCGCAGGGATCCAGAGCCTGAGGCCTCCGCTACTGCTGAGGAGGCCGAGCGGCGCGCCCGCAGCTGCCGCCTGCAGTATCAGCGTGCTGGCGTGCGCTTCCTTGCCCCCTTTGTGGCCCACCCGCTGGACGGTGGCCGCCGCCTAACGCACCTGCTCGGCCCCGACTGGCTGCTGGACGTGTCTCACCTCGTGGCGCCACATGCCCGTGTGCAGGACTCGCGCATCGCCTCCCTGGAGGGAGGCCGTGTCCTGGTTGGCCGAGAACCTGGTGTCACCTCCATTGAGGTGAGCCATCAGGGGGCCGCTGGAGAGCAGGCTCCCTCTCCCCTCCACCCACCCCGCCCCCTGTCAACCCCCAGAAAGTGCTGGTAGCCTCCGGAGGTGTGGGAGGGGGACAGGGTGTCCCTGGGGAGGCGAGTGTGCACATAGTGGGGCTGCAAGCTGGATGGGAATGGGGTGGCTGTGCAATCCAGGAAGTCCTCTAGGTGGGAGGAGCTGGGTTATAGTATGTGCGGGGGCCCTCTGGAAAGAGACCTTCCCGGCGGCTGTGAGGTTGTGAGCCAGGTGTGCCCAGGGCTTAGAGTTCAGGTGTAGAGGAGGAGGTGAGCACCCTAGGGGAGGAGGCAGAGGGGCAGGAGGCACCCCTCAACTTCCAACACCTTCTCTCCCGCAGGTGCACTCCCCACTGTCTGACTCCATCTTGGGGGAGCAGGCACTGGCCGTAACAGATGACAAGGTCTCGGTGCTGGAGCTGCGGGTGCAGCCGGTGATGGGTCTCTCCCTGGCCCTGAGTCGGGGCACTGCCCACCCTGGGGAGGTCACAGCCACGTGCTGGGCCCAGTCAGCCTTTCCAGCTCCAAAGCAGGTGACAGCTGGAGGGTCAGGGGGATGAGGGCCACACCTCCAGCTGGGGACTTATAGCCGAGGGGGATGGAAGGAAAGGGGGCCCAGGGCCCGAGACCCCTAATGTTAGAATGAGGACGGACTCACTTCTGAGAGGGAGTGAGCTCCCCGCGGCTGGAGGTGACCAAGGCTCGAGCGTGGCAGAGGGAGGTTGACTTAGATGGCTCTTACGGAGGAGGCTCCTGATGACTCAGGCTCCAGGGCTAAGTGGAGACAGGTGATTGACACACGTCCCCTCTCTCCCTGTGTTTTGTCCACCTGCCTGTGTCTCTGTTTTTCTCTCTGGTCTCCTCCTCCGTGTGGCGTGTCTCTGTGGGAGTGGTCTGTGTGCATGCGTGCCTGCCCTCGCGTGTCTCTTGCTTGTGTCCGTGTGCCCCACAGGAAGTGGCCCTCTCCCTCTGGCTGGCCTTCTCCGACCACACCCTGGCCCCCGCTGAACTCTACGACCGCCGGGACCTGGGACTGTCCATGTCGGCTGAGGAACCCAGCGCTGTGCTGCCAGCCGAGGAGCAGGGTGCTCACCTCGGGGTGGTGGTGAGTGGGGCAGGTGCCGAGGGGTTACCCCTGCACGTGGCTCTGCACCCGCCCGAGCCCTGCCGGCGGGGCCGCCACCGCGTGCCTCTGGCCTCGGGCACTGCCTGGCTAGGGCTGCCACCTGCCCCCACGCTGGCCCCTGCCCTCCCAACCAGCCCCACCCGGAACCCGGCCGCCACAGAGGCCAGCACGGGTGGTGAGCGGCGGGCAGCAGGCAGTGCAGGGGGCGGTGTGGGTGTGAGGGGCAAGTTTGAACGGGCAGAAGAGGGGGTCAGGGAGGAGGAGGGGAATGAAGAGGAGGAGGAGGAGGAGGAGGAAGAAATGATTCCTGCCCCTCAGCGAGTCACCGACCTAGAGCTGGGCATGTACGCCCTGCTGGGAATCTTCTGCCTGGCCATCCTCATCTTCCTGGTCAATGGCATTGTCTTTGTGTTGCGCTATCAGCGCAAAGAGCCCCCTGACCAGGCCACCGACCCTGCCTCCCCTCAGCCCCACAACTGGGTCTGGCTGGGCACTGACCAGGAGGAGCTGAGCCGCCAGCTGGACCGGCGGCCCCCTGGCCCGTCCAAGGGAGAGGGGAGCTGCCCCTGTGAGAGCGGGGGAGGAGAGGAGGCTTCAAACCTGGTCCCGGGCCCTCCCAGTGGCACCCCCAGCTCTGGGGACACCCCTAGCTCCTCTGGCACCCTGGCCCGCAAGGAGGCTGGGGGGCGGCGAAAGCGTGTGGAGTTTGTGACGTTTGCACCGGAGCCCCCAGCACAGCAGCCGGAGGAGCCTGTCGGGGCCCCTACTGTACAGTCCATTCTGGTGGCCGGCGAAGAGGACATCCGCTGGGTGTGTGAGGACATGGGGCTGAAGGACCCCGAGGAGCTTCGGAACTACATGGAGAGGATCCGGGGCAGCTCCTGACCCTCCCCACCGGCCCTGGGCAGCAGGGACAGAGGTCCCAATGCGTCTGGCCTGCCCCTCCTGCTCCTCATATGGTGCTAGTTGATCCAAGTCCCCTGCCTGGTCCCCTCTGCCCTGCCCCTTGTCATGGACTGGATCAGGAGGAAGGGCTTATGCCCCTTATTTATGAAAACCATGTCATGCTAATGTTGGGTACAGAATAAACAGAGGGAAGCCACAGCTGGGACTGCTGCTACCTGTGTCCATGAGAGAAGTGTGGGGTGGACGAGGAGGGCTGCAGGATCAGCCCCGGTCCCTGCTGGAGCCGCTCTGGGAGCCCGGGCCCTGAGCTGCCCTCTCATAGCGACCAGCGATCCAGATGAACACGAGGGCCGTGACAGCCTGGATGGCGGCCAGGAGGAAGAAGTAGAGGTCCATCCGGCAGTTGTTGATGTTCCCTGGGGAGAGGGTGGGGACTGAGGACACTGGGTGGCACTCCCTCCAGCATCTGACTCCCAAGGGTCCCTCAAGGTGTCTACAATCCCCTAGCAGGAAATTGTTCATCTTGAGGCTGTGCAGGACAACCCTCCAGCAGCAAGGTAGGGTTCCACTGACTTCTGGTGCTTCCTTTTGATGACCTCTGGGGAAACTAAGGCCCAGGAGGCCAGGCCAGCCTGTGGGTGACCAGCCAAGTTTGGGCTGGAATCTTTTTTAAGAGGCCAGCCCACTGTTGCATCCTATCTTTGGTCAAAGCACATGGAGCTGCCACCTTTCCAAGTCTCCCCCACACGGCGACATGCCCCTGGGGAGACCTCCACCCGCAGAACTTACCGAAGTCCTCAGGGCAGTGCATCCAGCCCCCAGGCAAGGACAGTAGTGCCACCAGGCTGGAGCCCAGCAGGGAGCCCACTCCCGACAGACAGAAGAAGATGCCCATGATGGCGCCCTGCATGGAGCGTGGGGCCTCCGAGTAGGCAAACTCCAGGCCTGCGGATAGCAAGGAGGGGGTGCTCTGGAGGAGCAGAGCAGGCGCAGGGCCCTGCACAAACCTGCACTCTGCCCTGGGTGGCTGTGACCCTACCTCGCCCCCTGCACGCTCCCCCACACCTTCCCAGGTGCCACCCACCTGGCTGCAGAGCTGTCTCCCCCTCCCCCCTTGCTTCGGTCAAGACCTCCAGGCTAGCACTGCCACACCCTCAGCCCTCTGCCCACCTTCAGCCTCGTCCTCTAGTTCATCTTGATTCACCTCCACAGTGTCTTCTAGATGTACTGCCTCCCACACTGAGCCTAACCCTGGTCTCTGCCTGGCCCCAGCAAATGCTGTTATCCTTAGAGGATGGGTCCACCTGAAACACCTCAAAAGGGGCCCTTTCCATGCCAAGCCCCTTAAGCAAACCTCCTCCCATTCACTCCCTCCAGCCCCATGGCCTCCACCCTCCCTCCTTTTGTCCCCACACTTCCCAGGAAGCCTGGGGCTTTGCATATGCCCAGCCCTCTAGCTCCTAGGTTCTTCCTGCCACCTGCTGAAGCCCAGCTCATCTGCCCCTCCCACCTTGTCCCCTAGTCATGTGGCCAGCACCTCCCTGGGTTGATGCCCAGCAGGGACAAACACATGCAAAAGCATTACTGGAGCCTACAGTGCTGTGTGCTGGGGCAGAAGAACAAAGGGCAGGGAGGGAGAACCTCTCTAGATGCAGAATTGCAAGGGAGACATAAGGTCACCTCCGATCTGGAGCGGAACAACAGGGTGGCTGTGGGAACTGAGTGTGAGAAGTGCCTTGTTCACGTCCAGGTCCCCAGTGCAACAGCTGCCACTACCCTGAAGCTCCCCCTCACAAGCCACCCCTGGGAGAAGGCAGCCCTGCTCAGACGTGCTGCCTTCTCTGTGCGGCTGGGCAACTTGAGGGTTGCCCCAGACTCTCTTCCTGATGACTGCAAGGATGGGGAAGAACAGTTCAGGGTACCTGGGATGCTGGCAAAAATCTCGCTGATCCCAATGAGCAGGTACTGGGGGATCTGCCACCAGATGGACAGCGGCGCCGCGTAGTAGAGGTCCTTGCCGATGAGCTGGGACACAGTCTCATTGTGGTGGATGTAGTACAAGCGCTCCCTCTCCAGGCATCCTGGTTGGGGAGCAGGGGGAGATTTCTCTTAGCTTTGTGGCACAGCTTGCAACATGATGGGCACTATTAAGTAGCCAAGGTTTGGGTGGCAGCCCAGCCCAGGCAAAATACTGATCTTGGTAGCATACACTCTTGGAACTGAAGTAAGGGAAACTTGGGTTAAGCGAGCAGCCTAGAGTCACAGAACTGATACACAGACGGGGCGGGGTTTGAGTCACGTATGCTCGGCTTCCCAGCGGGCTTCCTTTCCATGGCTCGTGTGACTGCTCTGCTGTGACATACGCTATTGGTGATGGTGCCTGTTGCTAGTGCGACAGTCAAGCTTAACCGCATTGTCTGCTTCCATCCATTGCTTAGGAGATAGCTGGGTTCTATGTGGACTGGAATGAACCCTCTGCAGAATTAGGGGTTTAGGGTTCCAATCTTGACCCTCCCCCTGGCGAAGCCATATAATCTTGGCCACATAAATCATTTGAAGCCTCCAAGGCCTGGTTCCCTCAAGCAGCGGGCAAGCAACCCACAGGGGTTTGTAAGGGTAAAACAAGACAACATGAATGAGAACACAGCTAAAACGCCTCTCGCTGGGTTTTCACACTCCAGGAAAGTGAAGTCCTTTGAGGTTTACTTTCTCCAGCTCTGGGCGCACTCTGTGGACAGCTTCACTTCATCAATCCTCACCACACCTCCCATGAGGCTGGCTCCCTGTGCGAAAGGCATGGCTCAGAGCCTGCCAAGTGACTTGGGAACCTCAAGTCACCAAGGGGAAGGGGTGCAGGTTTGTTCAGCTGCATCAAAGGCTTAGTGAGCCTAGCCCTTCTACAAATGATTTCAAATCCTTTTGAAACGAAAGAAGAGTTTTTTTTAGGTCCCCAGGTACCGCTAAGTGGCTGTGTGTAATCTCTAGAAAATTTATCCAACACATTTGTTGAGGCCCGTGGGCATGAATCCCAGGAGTGAAGATAAAAAAGAAAGCATCTGTCCCTACTTTCCAGGTGCTTCCAGTGCGGGAGCAGCGTGTCCCTCCCCCAGATGCTGGGCCAGTGCAGCCGGCCCCTCCCTGCCCTGCACGTACCTGCCACGATGACAGAGGTAAAACCAAAGAACATCCCCAGCGCCATCTTCTGAAGAGACGAGGGAAGCAGCTTGCAGCGCAGCAGTAAGGGGTCGAGCAGGTGGTCCTTCACAGGGACCAGAATCAGCACCACCACTACGTTGGCCAGAAGGAGCCAGGCCTCCGGGATCTAGGCAAGGGGGAAGTAAGAGAGGCAGGCTAGAAGAGCAAAAGGAACTCTGGGCTGAAGTCAGAAGCCCTCAACTCCAGATTGACCCTGAGCCCTTTCCCTGCTCTGGAACATACCCTCCTCAGCTGTACTAACCAGAGGGTGGGATCAGATCAGGGAGAGAAAATAGATACCTCTGATGTTTCAACTCGTGTCAGCTCCTTGGGATACTCTCTGGCTTGGCATGACAAAAGGGTATGATTAGTGGTATTTGCCATCCGCAAGAAAAGGGCATCTAATGGTAACTATGTCACTTACCTGCCATCTCTGAGCAACTCTGGCTTTATGAGTCTGAGATGCCAGGGAACTAGCTTTAGAAAGTTCTGGAGAAAAGCAGAGCTGCGCCTCAAGGGGAAGAGAGACCCGATGGAGTCAAAGATAGATGGGAGGGGGCAAATTGGGTGATAGGGCCTGCTTCAGAACGACTTTGTAGGGGAGTGATGCTGGCCTGAGTTCTTTGGAACCACTAAGTAGGGTGTCTGTGGTCCCACCCCCAGGCACTTTTTCTGTAATTTTGAGGTCACCTTGAAGCTGAAGGCGGGACATGGGAAGCAGAGGAAGCCCCCAGCCATCCTGACCCCATACTTGACCTCTCACCCTGTAGCTGCTGTCCAGGGCTCTCAGAACCAAGGAGCGGTTGCTGGGATTGGCTGGGAAAATGTTCGGGATGTGCAGGTGAAGGCCTTGCAGGACATACGTGGACTGCATCTGCCAAGACAGAGGGCGGTGGGGCTGAGTTGGAGCTGCCTGTCTTGCCTCTATTCCCAGCAGGCACCGGGAACACAGGGCAGCTGTCCCCTTTACGAGCCTCAGGGGACAGCCACCTTCCCAGCCACCTTCCTCCCAAGAGCCCATGAGGCAGGAAGCTGCTCACCCTACTCTCAGCTGCCTCAACCCAGAGCCCAGGCCCAGCTGGGCTGACTCCTGTGTGTCTCCAAGGCCCAGAGTAGGTGGGGATACACATTCATTGAGAGAGGGACGGTAATGATAAGGCTGTACCCGCAGGGTGTTCTCATCTAACCCTGAACCCAAGGTGAGTGCCACACGTTGACACAGCCAGTGGTGTGACCCTGCACCTGGCTTCCAGATCAGGGCTTGGAGGCCCTCTGCCATGCCAAGCATTGTCCCTTAACAACACAGAAGAGAAGAAGGTCTGGGATAGAGCACTGGGCTCCTTCAGGGGCACTTAGTGACTGGACAGAAGGACACCAATATCAATAGGCCCAGACAGATGGGATGACTCATGTAAGGAGCTGGGCCTCAGGCCCCTCTCTGGCATTCCTCCTGCTCTGCCACCCAGGGGAGTTGCTGTCAGATGGCATGTGCCAGGCCCTACATCTACTGGGACACAGCAGCTCACTCTGCTCCTCCCCTTGCTACTGTGAGAGCTGAGACCAATGAGGAGTCTGGAGAGCCAGGCCCCTTCCCCTACCCTGACCGCTATCCAGAGCAAAAGGTCATGGAGCTCACCTGGAAGTACACCATCCAGTAGGGCACAAGGGTCACCAGGACCGGCAAGATCTTCATCAGCACCTGGAAGTTGGCGATGTCCTCTGCAGGGGAAGGACCGGGCTGGGGATACCTCTGGTCAGGCAGCAGGTGAGTGCTTTGAGCATCTCTGGGAGGCCACAGGGACAGCAGATAAAAGCT